TTTTGGACCCTTTTGACCTCAATATGAACCAATTTGATAGCGGGGTCCACAAATAAAAAATCTAAATACATGGTTAGATTCAGCATATCAAAGAACCCCATATATTCAATTTTTGTTGAAATCAAACAAAGTTTAATTTTGGACTCCAATTTGGACCAACTTGAAAACTGGGCCAAAAATCAAAAATTTAAATACATGTTTAGATTCAGCATATCAAAGAACCCCATATATTAAATTTTTGTTAAAATCAAACAAAGTTTAATTTTGGACCCTTTGGACCTTAATGTAGACCAATTTGAAAACTGGACCCAAAATTAAATAAAATGCTCCGCAGGGCGCAGCTCGATACGACCGCAGAGGTCGAACCCTGAACAGTTGGGGGAAGTATGGACACAACATTCAAGCTTGATACAGCTTTGGATTTGGATTGTGATTAAATATTTGACACAGCATAGGTTTCTAACACAGATTGAATGTGGTCTAAGAACTTAAAAATTTTAAATTGGACATTCACCTTTTATGGTCCAATATCCAAAATCTAAATACATGGTTAGATTCAGCATATCAAAGAACCCCAAGAATTCAATTTTTGATGAAATCAAACAAAGTTTAATTTTGGACCCTTTTGACCTCAATGTGGACAAAGTTGATAACGGGGCCCAAAAATCAAAAATCTAAATACATGGTTAGATTCAGCATATCAAAGAACCCCATATATTCAATTTTTGTTGAAATCAAACAAAGTTTAATTTTGGACCCCGATTTGGACCAACTTGAAAACTGGGCCCATAATCAAAAATCTAAATACATGTTTAGATTCAGCATATCAAAGAACCCTAAGAATTCAATTTTTGTTAAAATCAAACTAAGTTTAATTTTGGACCCTTTGGACCTTAATGTAGACCAATTTGAAAACGGAACCAAAAATTAAGAATCTAAATACACTGTTAGATTCGGCATATCAAAGAACCCCAATAATTCAATTTTTGATGAAATCAAACAAAGTTTAATTTTGGACCCTTTTGACCTCAATGTGGACAAAGTTGATAACGGGGCCCAAAAATCAAAAATCTAAATACATGGTTAGATTCAGCATATCAAAGAAGCCCATATATTCAATTTTTGTTGAAATCAAACAAAGTTTAATTTTGAACCCCGATTTGGACCAACTTGAAAACTGGGCCCATAATCAAAAATCTAAATACATGTTTAGATTCAGCATATCAAAGAACCCCAAGAATTCAATTTTTGTTAAAATCAAACTAAGTTTAATTTTGGACCCTTTGGACCTTAATGTAGACCAATTTGAAAACGGAACCAAAAATTAAGAATCTAAATACACTGTTAGATTCGGCATATCAAAGAACCCCAATAATTCAATTTTTGATGAAATCAAACAAAGTTTAATTTTGGACCCTTTGGACCTTAATGTAGACCAATTTGAAAACGGAACCAAAATTTAAGAATCTAAATACACAGTTAGATTCGGCATATCAAAGAACCCCAATAATTCAATTTTTGATGAAATCAAACAAAGTTTAATTTTGGACCCTTTGGACCTCAATGTGGACCAATTTAAAAACGGGGCCCAAAATCCAAAAACTAAATACACGGTTAGATTCAGCATATTAAAGAACCCTATGAAATCAAGAATAAAACCCCATTGAAATTGGTCAAGAAATAAGCAATTTATAGGAAGTATCTTCTTTTGCACAATCCTGTGCTATTAAATATTTCTTGCTATTGCGCAATACTGTACAATTGACTATTTCTTGCTATTGCGCAATATTGTGCTATTGGATATTTCTTGCTATTGCGCAATACTGTGCAATTGAAGATTTCTTGCTATTGCGCAATACTGTGCAATTGAAGATTTCTTGCTATTGTGCAATACTGTGCAATTGAAAATTTCTTGCTATTGCACAATACTTATTATATAATAATTTACACATCCTGTTTGGTGTGTATCTCCTACCATATCATTATTATTTGATTTTAAATATAAATCAGAAATAACCAAAAAAAGAAAAAAAAGGAAAAAAAAATAAATCCCCCCCCCAAAATTTTTTGAACCCCCATTATGATTCATCACCCCCCAAACTCAATCCCAGCCTTCCCTTTGTGGTATGGTACCTTGCAGTACAAGTTCAGAGAGATCCATACACTTGAACACAAGTTATTGTCTGGGAACTAGAAAAAAATGTGTTTTTTGGCCCCTTTTTGGCCCCAAATTCCTAAACGTTTAGGGCAATTACCCCCAAACTCAAACCCAGCTTTCCCTTTGTGATATGGAACCTTGTAGTACAATTTCAGAAAGATCCATACACTTACACACAAGTTATTGTCATGAAACTAGAAAAATGCTTGTTTTTTGCCCCTTTTTTGGCCCCTAATTCCTAAAATTTGGAGGCAATTACCCCCAAAATCAATCCCAGCATTCCTTTAGTGATATAGAACCTTGTGGTACAATGTCAGAGAGATCCATACACTAACAAACAAGTTATGTCTGGAAGTTACAAAAATGCTTATTTTTGGCCCCTAATTCCTTTACTGTTATTACCATAACCCCCAAAATCAATCCCAACCTTCCTTTTGTGGTATTGAACCTTGTGGTAAAATTTCATAAAGATCCATTCACTTAAACTAAAGTTAGAGTGCGAAAACCAATGTGTCTTCGGACGACGCTGGACGACGCCGGACGACGACGACGACGACGCCGGACGACGACGACGACGACGCCAACGTCATACCAATATACGACCACAAAAATTTTTTTGCGGTCGTATAAAAATTAAATACACGGTTAGATTCGGCATAACAAATAAATAAATGTGGTCAAAGATTTTACAAATCTAATGCGCCATACTGTGCAATTAAAGATTACTTCTTGACATTTTTCAATATTTGAAATTTGAAAAAAAAAAATATTTGAAGAATAATTCTTTTTAATTTCTGAAATCTGAAATGAGAAAAAAATGATCCCCCACAATTTCTTTTTACTCCCCCCCCCCTTTTTTCCCCCAAAAAATTCTTTCCCTCAAGATATGGTCATAATCTGAATTCAAATTTCCAATGGAGTTTGCAACCATAATTACCCATTTAATTTTACCATAGTGCTAACTTAATCTATTTTATAATAGAATTTAAAATATAGTGTCAAATCTTTCATATGGATTTTTTTGTAAAAAAAAAAGATGCAACATTTGCAGATATTTTTACTGGTCTTCCTTTATAAATATGCATTTCTTTAAACATAATTTAAAAGCAGTGTAAGGGAAGTAACCAAAATGTTGTATTTGGATTACCTCCCTTACACTGTTTTAAATTATCTTAATTGTTCATTAACCATTACTTTATACATAATTTAAAAGCATTGTAAGGGAGATAATTTCAATGATGTATTAGATTTATCTCCCTTACACTGCTTTAAATTATGTTTTGTACTAAAGTATTTGTCCATTAACCAGGACAACCTTGTTTTTCCCCCTTTTTTGCCCCTAATTCCTAAACGGTTTGAGCCATAACCCCCCAAAGCAAATCCTAACCATGGTATGGAAATTTGTAGTATAATTTCAGAGAGATCCATACACTGTTCCACAGTTATTGTCTGGAAACTAGAAAATGCTTATTTTTGGCCCCTAATTCCTTAACTGTTGGTACCATAACCCCCAAAATCAATCCCCACCTTCCTTTTGTGGTATTGAACCTTATGGTAAAATTTCAAAGAGATCCATTCACTTAAACTAAAGATAGAGTGCGAAAACCAATGTGTCTTCGGACGACGACGACGACGCCAATGTCATACCAATATACGACCGCAAAAATTTTTTGCGGCCGTATAAAAATTAGCAATTTTTCCATTTATAAAGGGGTAATAAAATTTTTGCAATTTTTCCATTAATAAAGGGGCATAACTCTAGAACGGTTAAAGTGACGCCACCAAAATTCAAACTTGATCTGTGTTTTGTGAGCATTGTGTAGAAGTTTCATAACATTTGGTTGAGGCAAACTCAAGTTAGAGAACGGAAACCAATTTTGGGACGTACGTATGTACACACGTACAAGGGTAAAACTTAATGCCCCCACCGCTACAGTGGGGGCATAAAAATTGTACTTTTTTTCTAGCACTCACTGAACCATGTATATGAGGTCAAGGACAATGGAGGTATGACCGACAAGAACTTAGTAACATTAGGTATTTGATACAAGGTATGAAGTATACAGGTCTTCTAGCTTCTGATATATAAAGCTTTATACAAAAAGTTTACACCCTCGCTGCTGGATTGTAATCCCTGTCTCACATTTTGCCACTTTAGCAGCAGGGGAGACAAAAACAGAACAAACATAAAATGTTATTCTGATAAATATACCATAGGTAGAATATTTTTGGGTTGCAAATTTTTTTTTACTGATTTCAAGCTACTATTTTTATGGTTTCATTATTTTTCAACAATCAAAGTCTTGGTTTCCACCTACACATAAATCAAATAGTTACACACCATTTATGGTCCTAGACTGTTTTGTGTGAACCTGCATCCTAGATGTTTTGTAATGAATTCTGGTATTGTATGCTTTTGTTGAATATATGCCATGAACTGAAATATTTTCTAATGCAAACATTTTCAACAGCCTACTAGCATATTGATCTTGCCAGCCAATTTTTAATATCTAATGACTAAGTTCAATCAACAGCTCATTAAAACACTTCTGTTCAGATTTAAGGTATAAAGGGCTATTCCAGAAAAAGTGTACGGGAGGATTAGACAACACTTTTTTTTATACCCAACTACCGATAATTTTTTTTTAATTTGTAACAGAATTATATTTGCTTCCACCCCTAATTATTCTGACACAGAAAAAGAAGCATGTGGTGTCCAACACTCTCGTATTTTTTTCTTGGCAGTAGCCCTGCATTAAATGTTCATAACTATTCATGCTAATGCGGCATACAGCAAACATCAATCAATCAATCATTTTTTATTTTCATTAATTACAACAAATTTAAGACTTCATAAAATTTATTTTACAATGACATGATTGAAAAGACAACATGAGTAATACAATAAATGAAAGGAATTCAACAGGTGACTTCAAGTTAATTTGCAGCATACAATGATAAGATAGTGTTACTAATTCTCTAAATTAGATTTCCTGATTTTATAATAAACTATTAACAGATTTTCTATTAAATTTAAAATAAAACCTTTATGCAGACATTAGGAAATATATGCAAATTAAGTTGAAGTGACTGGTATTGATGTTTTGATGTTATTGCGAAAATTGATGTTTAGGAATATCTGCACTTTCTTAAGAGCTTTGAATACTTTTAAGAAATAAATCTAGAAAAAACAGATTTTGTAACAAAAAATATAAAATTGGTATTTGTTGTCCCATTTTAAACTTAAAAGTTGCTGTGACACTGTTCTTTATGTAGTCACAAAAATCACAAACAAATTACAACATTCTCCCGATTTTAATGGAATCTCTCTCACTTGTTCCCTGTTAGAAATATACACAAAATGCTGCTGATTACGTCTGCACTTGTTGGATTAATGTGATGTTATCTCCCTTGAGCATTATTCGTCCTGAAAAATACAAAAATAAAAACAATCAATAGTAATTTGTAAATTTCCTACAGCACAATCAAGTTGATTAAGTGTTAAGTGTAGAGTGATTCACTCTGATAATACTTCCGTTTACAAATCTGTCCTGTATAACCAGTGGGATATACAGTCTGTTTTACATTATATTACAGTTTGTTCTTATGTTTTGCTTTAACACCGCAAACATGTTTAACCCCACCAAATTCTTGAAGTGCCTGTCCCAAGTTAGGAGCCTGTAATTCATGTCCCTCATATTTGTTTTTCGTAAATTGTACTGTATAAATTAGGTTGTTAGTTTTGTCGTTTGAATTGTTTCACATTTTTCATGTTGGGACCTTTTATAGCTGACTATACTTTATGGGTTTTTCTCATTGTTGAAGGCCTACAGTGAGTGACCTATGATTGTTTTTATCTTTGTCATCTTAACTCTGGTGGATAGTTCTCATTGGCAATTATACCACATCTCCTTATTTTTATACAGAGACTTTCAGTGAAACACCCACAATTACCTGCATTCACTTGAAATATCACCAAGAGAGCTTTTTAACTGAATCACTTTATGTGAATTATATTCACAAATCTTATTTAGCATATACAACATTTTTAAATTTCTCATTGCTTTTTGATGGGTGCTAAAGTTATGTGGAGCTGTTCATGCAATTTAGAAAAATCTCTGTCACTATAAAATACTAAACATGAATAAATTGAAGAGTTATGATTTGTACAGGAGTAAATAATCAACAATAATGTGTGCTTCATGACAATGCCCTTGATGCTACAATATTGCTGATGTCTTTAATTATTTTTAATGAAAAACAGTATGCATGATTTATATAATTTAGCTTAGAAGGGAGGAGGTAGCCTTTTCTGGTCTTAAAATTGAAGTATTACAATATTAGGTTGTGTTTGTCATAAGAATAATGCATAAGTATGTGCAAAACTTCAACTAGAAGCAATTTCCAAATAATATGAAAGCATTCAGCAAGTTTTTAGGATGAACAATTGCATAAATTTAATTACTCGACAAAGAAATAACAAACATTGCATCTTTTTTTACACATATTTGTGAGTCAGGTATAGTGAGCTCACTAAAATTTATTAAACCTATGTATGCACTTTCACAAACACATACAAGGCCCTTACATTCTATTAAGTCACAGATACATTTATTATGAATTTATGAAGTCATTGGCCTTAATTACATGTTTTTGATTTTGTTATACCTTATTAAAATGGAAATCTTGAATAAAAAGCTCAAATTTAGTGAAAAATATAGCAGAAAAGGGGTACCTTTTTTTTTCAATAATTCAATTTGAAATATAGTTTAAGCTTTAATATTTTGTATTTTCCAGCTTATACTTTTAAACATTTAAAATTTTTTAAAACATATTTATCTATTACAATTATACCACAGTATCAACAACAAACCAGGCCTTACCAAGTGTTTTTCTGTTCTTTGTCTTCATGTGAACTTCTTCTGCTTCATCTAATACCAGATTCATATATTCATCAAAACCCTGGAATGAGAAATATAAGCTGGTATATGTCACAGATCAGACAATTGAAATTTTTAAAGTCTTAATATGAAATTACTATGTATATGCTTATCATACATTGTCATATACTGGTAGAAACTTGTCAAATGCATCGATAAATGCATAATCTTTGTAAAATGTAAATGATATCTGTTTAATAAAAAATCAATGAATAGATATTTCTTCATATCAAAAATACATACACGATTAAATTTATTCCTTTAAAATTAAATAATCAACCCCAGGGTTAAGTTTACCAAACTAGATATTTACAATGAAAACAAATACCAGATTTTTTTTTAAACAGCCAATTTAATCAATGAATGATTGGCTTTTCAAGGAAAAATTCAAAATTCCTATTGAATGAACGCCACAGAGAACAACAGCAATTGTATTTATTTTTAGGACATTTCACCTTGCAAATATTCAAATACCCTGATAAACACCAACTTATCTAGGGAAAGGTTTTATTTTCTTTGCAATAAATGTATAACCTTACCACAATACATCCTTCTATTCTGAGGTTTGTCTGTTCATACAGCCATACTGAGATCCTGGATCTCTGTTAAAAAAAAACATTCAGTAAATAAACAAGTCAAATAATTCAATCTTACAATTCAATTTCAAAGTATTTACATTTGTGTCTTTGGATAGTTGAATTAATATAAGCTTTAATAAGATTTGCGACCAGATTTAAACAATATTTTATTTGGATTCCAGCGATGAAGCATCCACTTTTTTGGAAGACTTTGTGGTACCACCCTATATATTAGAACACATTTCCAAAACACAATGTTAATCTATAAAGGTTTCAGATCTTTTGTCCATCTGAATACAAAGTGTAAGCCTTCTATCACTTGTCTACATGTATAATGTACCCGGTTTGTTTGATAATTTAATTGGATTACAAATAAAATGGCTCATTTTTTGTCTAAAGACCTATCACTATATCACTATTGACAACATAATTCATGACTAGGTCTACATGTAGACTCAGGCAGTTTACACATACACATGTACCATACACTCTGCTATTGTTATAGACTGTATGTTGCCCCCTTTTTTTTTTCATTGGGTTTCTGCCTAATTGACGAATGAAACATATATCTTTTTATTCACATCATTTTTAATTAACAATATGGCCAACTAACTGACATGACTGACATCATAGATATTGTTTTTAGCAATTTCAACAGAAAATACACATTCATATGTACATGTATTTTTGGTTCTTAAGTGGTACTCAAACACATGTCTATTTCAATCCTTAAATTCACTACTTTCAAGAAGTTTTCAGTTAAAGGGCTGTTTGACTTTTGTAATGCTTTGAATAAGATAATGAATAATAGAAAAAATAACTTTCAACAATAAATCAATAGAATTTATATACTTACATTTTGAAGATATCTAAAAATCAAGTTCTGTGTAACAGTTAAGAAAAATACTCTTTTCCATTAATACATTCATGACATAATAATTAAAAGTGAGTACATGTATGCTTTCAACTTTCAAGGAACAAACCTTTGTTTACTAACATGAAATAACATTCAAATGTGACAAATGTTTTTATACAGGTATTTATAGGAATAACTGTGTGAATAGCCTTACAAGTAGGGTTGGTCTGCAATTAGCAAACACTTTTGCTGGTTCTTAATTTTTTTTAAATTATTACTCAATTTGTAAAATTAGATATTATGGTGGAAAACATTTTAATATGAAATTAAATACACAATCATTATTGAGACATGAAAATATGTACATGTATGTCAAGGGTTAGGGTTTCCTTTTTAAAAATCTTCAGGTTTGTAGGTCAGAATTTATACATAATATATATACCTATTTATATAAACATGATAAAAATTTAGAAAAATATAGTTTCAACACATAGAAAAATTTTGTATTCACAGAGTCCTGTTCCAATATCATAATAATGTTCACCATTTGCATTTTGTCAATGATCAAAATGAACATGTTTTTCGTTTTCAAGAACACACGATTGTTTTTAGCCGTGTTTATTTTCATGTGTGCATCATAAGAACATAACTCGTCACTGCCATTGATATTACTTCAATAAAGTTATGATTTCTGACTACAACAACTTAAGGTAAAATAGAAAACTAGTTTCCAATGATATGACTAAGAAACAGTTGGACAATCAATAATTTTAAACTGAATCAGGCGGACATGGTGAATTTTAGAGATTAGGACCAATATGTCAGCCGCTTTAAGCAAAGTCTGTTTTCCCACTGCTAAGAATTGTCTGTTTTGGGAGTTGTTTTTGAGGAATGTAGGACGAGAGTCGTAGGACAAAAAGTCACAATTCAGTTTTGAGATTATTTTTCTTTGCATAAGAAAACACTGTTGTTTTTTTTTTTAAATTGTAATTATATATTATAAAGCAACTTAGTCATGTTTGTAATTAAAACTTATTTAATAAATATCAATAATGATCATATAATTGTTAAGAAAACAAAATGTCAAAGTGGCTTGGTACCTAAGTGGCTTCATGATGCCAAGAAATATATCATTTGCATGATTAAAATTTAATAAATTTTCATTTATCAAGGCTAATGAACAATTTCCTCAACTGTAAAATGAATATATGTAATAAAAAGAAAATATTTCAAGATCTTTCTCTCATATATTCAAACAATTGTCAACAAATTATTTGTGACATTTTGTCCTATCAAGTTTGCGACTTTCTGTCCGTTTACCGTTTTTGAGATGTAAACACAGCCATTTTTGTTCTATGATCTTGTGTGACCCTTTGTTTATTTTTAAGCTTAATTCGTCTGCATCATCAAACTTTGTGAGCCATTATAGCAGGAGATGAAGCTTAATTTGGTGCCTGTACCATCAGTTTGATTTTTCAACCACCGTTGTCTCAAGTAAAAACATGTTGTGTTTACATGAAACTCTGTAATCTCAAGACGATTTATTCTCTTGATTTGAAAAAGGATACGATAGGTTGCACCATAACCTTCTGAACTTTCTGTCCTCCTTTGTATGCCATCGTTAGAGGCTTCCAAAAAATTTGCTATAATAGCACGTTGTGAAAATGGCGGCGAATAGTATTCGACTGATCCCTTAGACCGACTGACGATGTCAAATATAATATGAGCAAGGCAAGAAACAAACCACGCTAAAGGTGAACCAGTTTGCCTGAGGTTCCGACGGGAGATTATAATATTGTTTTCCTTACAATTTAAACAAAATATGTATTACATTTCTGTTCACGGCACTAATAATAATAATAATAATAATAACTTTCTTGTTTAAACCCAGATACAAAAAAATAAATAATTAAAATCAAACAAAATAAACTAGAGATGGCCCGAGAACACAGTTATTTCGTAGTGCATTTCTTTTAGACAATAAAGTCAAATTAAAAAAATCGCACCTGCTCTATCTCAAAAAGATTTTTACAGTGTAGTGTACTACTATTGGGACAAATAATATCAAAATTATAGAAAAGTCTACCAGCTCTAACTCAAAATATTGACAATTCTATGTTAAGGGGGTCTAAAATCCAGTTTGACAGCTTCAGACATACTAGTTTTTGAACTTTTTTTTAACCGGACCAAATCACTACTTAAAACATAAAGATTCAGCAACCAAATTTTTTTAACATGTAATTTCACCCCCTTACTTAATATTTCATGCATAAAATAAAAAATTGGAATGTGTATGAAAAAAATTTGCAAGTTATACACTGTCCACACTAGGGACTATAATCTATAAGGAGGATAACTGTGTCCTTGGACCTAAATACTGCGAGCCTAATAAATGACACACCGTAGCAAAGCTTAATAGTGCAAAGTGTATGACTTGCTATGGGCAAGGATTTGTAAAGTGAGACACTATACAAATCCTTGCTAAGGGGAACTCCAAAAAAATAATCTGGTGACTAAAAGTTAATGGTTCAGATTAAAAGAACATTTCAATATAGCACGGTGTATGAATAACGGGTTTAGGAGGAGTTGCGGATACTATATATGCACCGAAATCTAAAGCAACCAGTTCATGAATATGCCTTTTGTGAACCCAAGAAATAATTCTTAAGAAATCAGTTTTGATAAGTAGGAAGTGCCACGCAATAGCATTCTATGGTTATTCAAGGTTGTGATAATCTAAAGTGTTCAAGTGTAAAAGGGGGTTTAAGAGGACTTGAAAGTAACTCAAAATATAAAAGCAAAGACAAATACCATAGCTGTAAGGGAAATCCTTAAAATAATACGGGGACCGAAAACAAATTAGCCGGGAGGTGCATAATGGCATTATATTGTAAAGATTCTTAGAAAAATTCAATAATATACGATAAAGGGTTTAACAGGAGAGAAGCGTCCGGGTTTAAAAAAAATGTGTACTATATAGTGTGCAGATATGACGAAGTCCAAATGTCATCCAAACTGAGAAACTAAAAAAAACCTGAGTGAGAAGAAGAAATGAAATAGGAGGCCTAGTGAAGTCAAGTCAAACCCTTTCCAACTAATTTTTACATTTTATATTATATTTTGATGCTACATGTAACACTGTCCTATGATTTATCGCTCATAAACATTTTAACTCCACCACATGATCAATGTGACTCTCACTATTTTGGAGCTCATTAATTCAGAGGTTTTCGTCGTTTGCTGTCTTCCATATTTGTTTTTCGTTTATCATATTAACATAAATCATAATGTTTGTTTTCCCATTTGAAATATGTGACATTTAGTCATGCCGGAATTAGAGTTGCTCCTTGCTGTAGACTGTACGGTAGATAGATACCTTATTCTCTAAAAACTAAATGCAAGTTTACAGAGAAAGTACAATTAATATCAATACAAATACACTGAATAGTAGAGGTAAACAGATGCAGTACGATAATGTAAAATGAAGTACAACATTATAATGACATACATGTATAATAAACGGTTAAACTAGATACGAAGAATTAGTCTGGTGTTATATACGTTTACATGGAGGAACTAACCTTTTCATTAATACACTTAATGAACGAACACAGTTTTCTTTAACCTGATTGTTTTTTAGTATTAAACAGTAAGAAAATAGACATTTTATTTAGACGCTATATATATGTGAAAATTTACTTTGAAGCGAAATAATTTTCGTTAATTCTGCAACTGAGAGCAGCAAAATAAATTATGAAATTCATCACCTATATCACCGGAATTACATAAATTACATTTCCTTTCACTGCGATCACGTTTTGTCATATACTCTTTTCTATAGCTAACGCATGGTTACCTGCCTTAAATTTACATAAAATAAAAATATTTTTGTCATCTAGATGATGTTTAGATAACTCTCGAAGTCTAACGTATTCTTGAACAATCTATAGTTTATACATTTTGAAGAATTTTGTTTCGACGAGTACCACTTCTGTTTTTATTGGTCTATCGGTGACCTATAATTATTTATTTCCTCGTCCTTTTTGTGTCTTTTGGTTAATTGTTTCATAGGAAATCGTACAACATATCCTTATAATACCCTATATAACATAGCTAAATTTTACAATTTAATTAAGGTGCATAAACTAAACTAAATGAAATAAATAGAAACAAATCACAAATAAAAAAAAAATATTTTGAATGTAAATATCGAATGAGTATCGTCGATATCGACTACTAAAACAGATGACCCGAGAGAAACTGAATGCCAGAATTGTCTCTATATATATATATATATAACTGTACACAGCAGATGGACATTTAGAACAAAAGTTGTCGATAACGACTCGATATCGAAACTGTACCAGAAGAACATAGTGTAAAATAATTTAAAGAACGAATCAGTTGATGAAAAATTTCCTAAACTAGAAGAAATGAATAGATAAACAAATCACGAAGGAAATTTCAAAATGTCGAAATCCAATCGATAAAGTCCACATCTTAAACAGATAAACAGGGAGAAACTGTATTTGGTGTGTGCACAACTGTATCAGATAAACATTTAGAACACAAATTGTATGCGTCGATATCCAACTTCAGTAAATGAGTAATGTGTAAACTAATTAAAAGAAAAATCAGCTGATAATAATTCTAAATGTCGATTAAAGTAGATGACAAAAGAGTTTCTTATATAATTTAGAAAACAAATTTTGAGCCAACCACTGTTAGCAGTATCTATCGTGTCTTTACAAGGGGCCAGTGAGTTAAGTTAAGTTACTACCGATATCGGTACGATGTCGCCGATATCGTCAGCATCGTTACTACATCGTGTCTTGGACAAACAAAAAAAAACAGATTAGTAAAGCCTATGTAAAAGTATGACTTTCTCCATCTCATCTTAGTTGTGATTTCATTTGATGTCTATGCAGTTAAGCATCAGTAAACACACGAATTGATATCAAGATGTGCTTCAAGTAAGATTTGCAATTTTTGTTTCATTTTGTAAACTTTGTACATCAAATGTTTGTACACCAAAAACGTTTTTCACTATTTTCACTCGGAACTCAAGAGCCGAAACCTACAGCATAAAAGAAGAAGATGTGGTATGATTGCCAATGAGACAACTCTCCACCAGTGACCAAATGACGTAGAAGTTAACAACTATAGGTCACCGTAATTATATATATAAGGTCTTCAACAATGAGCAAAAACCATAGCGCATATAGTAAGCTACAGAAGACCCCGAAATGACAAATGTAAATCAATTCAAACGAGACTGCTTTATGTACAAAATAATAAACGAAAAACAAATATAGGAACAGCAGCAAACGATAAGTTCAGCTTAAATACTCGAATCTTCTGCACAGCGTGAAAAAAACACACAGAAAGCCGGAGTCGCGTGATTGAATGTACATCAAAATCTTATTTTCGATGATTTTGAGGATACACACATACTTAAATTAATGATTTATACAGCGAAAATAATTGCGGTGAACTCTATTAAATTTATAGCACCAGCATGAAAATTTCAATGGCAACAGCATTATGCCATATCTTTTTTTATAGAAAATTCCAAATTCGTAGGACAGGTCGAGGATTTGTCTTACTATACAAACCCTTAGACAGGTGTTTGAAAAAGGACAATTTAAAGTCAAATTATAAAACTTTACATTACGATAATATTTACGTACATTCTATACCCTTTTCTTCCGCTATGGAGCTCGTCGTGTGTTAAAGATTTCTTTCTTCTCTTTGAAAATTCACGTGAGGTAGAATCTGTTTAAGTCTATAAAGCACGCGATAATTTAAGACGATATACACATGTGTATATACTCCAGTTCTGTCTTGTGACGTAATCTCGCAATGATCGACGAATTTTTCAATGCTGTCACAAAACCGTCACGGTTGTGCCATTAATGACATTAATGCCATATATTTGGCTCCGCAACCACAGGCACTTATATCTGAAAAAAATTACCTATATAGATAAATAGTTAAAACAAAAATTTGAATGACAAGTGCCTGTGTCTGCAACGTATTTATCCAGATCAAGATCTGAAGAAATTCGACCCCTAATTGAATTTTGACCACTTATTAATTAAAAGGACTGAAAACCTGCCTCTCTGGTTAGACTATAAAGATATAACTATATCACTATGTTATCTCCCAGAGTTACAGTTACTCATGATAAAAATACCCTAAATAAGTTGTAATCGGGTACGAATAATCGCTGAGAAATAAAGTTTTCTGGGATTATCTGTACATCCTTGATTTATATAGTCCTAGGTAGCTTAAATGTGTATTATTATATGGATGTACACGTATATATATATAAAGAAGTTGTTTACCACGGATACTGCTTTTTCAATTGTAACAGTTCAGCTGATTTTCACGTAAAAATGTATAGAGACTTAAATTATATTAAAACACAAAAAAAAAGAAAGAAATTTAGCTCGAAATCAATCCGGAAACAAAAACCAGATCCGAGCCGACGTTTATATTTCCTTATATGGTAATATTCAAGACTTCCTGTTTTTCAACCGATCCATGTGTGAAATATCATATGAGTAACAGTTTCCAGAAGCTGTGATATCATTCCAAGCTTAAAAGATAAACATGGAGGTAAGATAGTTAATATAGCGGTACGAACATCCATATAATGTTAAAGAATTACTTTTTACATGATAAATATTGAAGAAATCTTACTGAACATTGTCAAAAAAAATTATGATGAAGTCTTTAATCTGCTAATCAAATACCGGTACTAAATGCTTACAATACTATTGTTTAGACAAAATAATTATGATTCTTGGAATGATATAAGTTGCCTCTCTTCATGTCTTAACAAATAAATAAAAAAATAATTGATAATCATACTTCACTGAAATAGTATTTAGTAATAGTAAACATGGTAAAAGTTTTGGTTTGTAACTTCCTTTTAAAAATAATAAAAAAAAAAAATAATACAAGCCTGCCATTTGTGTCTGGCAAAATTTGCATATTAATTTGATATCAGTAAAAAAGTCTCTCTCTAAAGTAAAAGTTAAGTAGGCCTGGCAAAAAGTTTTGCACCTGTGACAAGAACAATACAAATGTATTCTTTCTTATTTTTATGCAAATGGGTCAATATCTTTAATTGTTTTTACATAGGCAGTAATGGTAACGTTTTTTCCTGTAGCTCAGTCCATATCGTAAACTTGGATATGTATGATAGCTCGTTTCGAAGCTGTGACATTTTCACATATGTGGTTAAATTTTCGGGGTACGAAGTGAGATTACTTTTTCCGTAAATTAGCATACCCCGAACATCCTTTCGTGATGCGGCTCCTCGTGGTAAAAAATCCCTTTTTTGACACAAAAAGTTCTTTGAAAATTTAATACTTTGAACACATTTAATAGCTCCATAGTTTTTACACATTTATTCTATGTTCCTCTACTTTCCTAATCACCACAAATGGTTAAGCTCGGATATTTGTAAAAAATAGAAACATGTCCAATATCACTACACAGAGATTTTTTGTTTACACACAACTTTTGAGTTCCTCATTTCGAGGTGCATTATATATAAATTAGGGACAATGAGGGATATTGACCCAAATACAAGTATTTCTAAAATGATAATATGTACACATAGCATGGTAAATGGTGGTTGTAATATTTTAAAATAGACTCTGTCTAGTCTGACTGATGTGACCCTTTGTTATTAGAAGCTAGAGAAATCACTATCACTACATTTTGAATCCAAAGTTGCATCCAGATTTAATCTTAAATTCAACCCAGTCAAATTTGAAATAATATTGTTTTTTTTTTTTTCATTGCTCATTTTGTTTTGACATGAGGAATTAAATGTCAAATTAAGGAAGCTCAAAATAATGAGTTTTGGACTCATCTGAAAAAAATACAGAGTAAACAGAGTAAACTCGGAGTATTAGCAATCTCATGCATTTGCCCCACTGTTTCACAACATGTACAAGTAGCTTAGGGAGGCCCCAATGTTTTACATGTACATACAATGTACACTGGGATTTTATTTACCATGTTTACTGCTCATACATGTATATATCATATCCATGAAATATTATATTTTAGGACCCAAATGCAGATACACAGTGGAATGATATTCTCCGACAGAAAGGAATTCTTCCACCAAAAGAAGAGAAAGAAATTACTGAGGATGATGTCATCAGTATGGTAGAAAAAACAATAGAAGAAAAATCACATGGTAAAATTTCATAGTAATCTGATCAGTTTATATCACATACATTTATACACATACCATGTATCTCACTTAAGACAATAAGTGACTTCACATGCATGAAATACACATTTAATGTTTCTCACTTAAGACAAAAAGTGACTTCACATGCAGGAAACCAACTACCACATCTCCTTAATTTTATGCATGTACGTGTACATATTGTGAGAAAATAACAACATCCATCCATCTGTAAAACTATTTTAAAAGGCATTAATACATCACTATGCGTCCTTCGTCTGTTAACTATAACAAAAATCTTTTCCTTTGAAACTAATTGGCCATTTGGAACCAAACTTGGCCACAATGTCCAAAATAACAACATATATATGTAAAATCTACTTCAAAATGCATTAATACATCACTGGTATCTGTCAACTTTTACAAAGATCTTTTCCTCTGAAACTGCTGGGTCACAATCTACATTAAGGTATCTGAATTAAAAATGTCTACGATGATCCCGCCTTCCAACCATCATATCCAGTTCCTATGAAACTTTCATAATTCTGATATACGACTACGTTTTAGTATGCTATAATTCAAATTTGAGAGTTTGAGACAATTCTGTGGACATGAATTTGGCAACGACTTGCATTTTAAGGTAGTTTAAGCTAATAATGTCAATTAATCCAGCATTTAAAAAAAATAAACAATAACATATTGTAATAAAAAGGATCAGATGATAACAATATAATTAACTGAATATTTTTTTAAAGGTAAAGCATTTGATGACATGACTTTAGATGAATTGAATGAAAAAGAGGATGATATTGATGAAGAAGAAGAAAGAATCTTTGAAGCATACAGGTAATATCTTCCAAGCCAATCCTAGTGGACTCCTGTTTATTTTAAAACACAAGCTTGTTTTAATTATTATTTCATTCAATATCATAATTGCCATAATTCATCAGATCGGCCTGAAGCATAAAAAGACTAAACAAAAAGACACAACATACAGATATAAGAGTACCCACACTTACTTAAAGCTTGTTCAAAGCAAATTTTAACTAAGTAGTAAACCATGTTTTCCCAGACTTAAGTATTAGTCGGGACATATACAACAGATTTACTTTAAAGACATCATACCTGAGTACTAGACAACAATTCTTATCATGTTCTATAAACAATTCAGTCATTAGACTTGTGTTTATTTCACAGGAGACAAAGAATGGCCGAAATGAGGGAAGCTAGTATGAAAGCCAAATATGGATGTGTCAAAGAAATATCAAAAGTAGATTATGTAACAGAAGTTAACCAAGCAGGAGAGGGTGTATGGGTAGTTTTACATGTGTATAAAAATGAGTAAGTTAGTTTTAAACACAGTTGTGTACACATGTATCATCTTAATAGTTTTTGTGGTAAAAGTTAATTTTGAAATTCTTGTAATATGTGTCACATAAAAACACAGAAAAATCAAATGTTAGGAAATATAATATATATCCCATCTACTATTGACATATTTAGAGAGTAGTTTCTATTGATTCATTAGTTGGTGCCAAATACAAAGCCAAATATAACCTGCATATCCAGAATGATAACATTATATAAACATACCCTGCTTTCTACTAGACTGACACACTTAGGTTGATTTTTTTTATTTTTAACCTGCCATTAGAGGTTCTCATCTAAAGATAAAACTATATACAGTCAAACTTGATATAAAGGTCACCTCTATTAAGTGAAAACCTGTCTAATAAGTTCACTCTCTTCCTATCCTGCTGTATCAATACCTACACATTTTAAACCTCAATTCAAAGGTCACCTCTTATATAAAGTCAGTTTTCTATGGTCCCAAGAGTGATCTTTATATACAAGTTTGGCTGTATATCTTTAAATGAAAAAAAAATGAATACATGTACATGCAGAATTATAAACTCAAACTGTGCTTGTTAGCAGATTGCCAAGTTGAGATGTATTTCAATTTCTTTTTTAGTATTCCTTTATGTGATTACTCAAACTCAGCTTGTTTAGTAGATTGCCATGTTAAAATATGTTTCATTTTCTTTTTCAGTATTTCTTTATATGATTACTCAAACTGTGCATGTATAGCATGTATAGTAGATTGCCGAGTTAAAATGTATCTCAATTTCTTTTTCAGTATTCCTTTATGTAAATTGATCAATCAACATATCATGAACTTAGCAGGGAAATTTCCCGAAGTTAAATTTTTAAGAAGTGTATCATCAGTGTGCATTCCTAATTATCCCGACAAAAATCTGCCAACAATATTTGTGTATTATGAAGGAGATATGAAGAAACAGTTTATAGGACCACATGAATTTGGTGGAATGAATTTTACTCAAGATGGTAGGTCATGATAGATAACTTATACAGAATGTTAGATTATAAAGTCTTAAACACCAAAAATAGCTGTGATGTTTTAGAAGTTTCAAACCTTAGATATCTGAAAAAAATCATTGAACTTGAATATTTAATCTTTCAAGTATTGCAATAATTTCAGTTAGTAGGAACCATTTAAATATCAATGTCTTGCCTTGGTATTATAATTTATCTAATTGGAGATAATTATTGTCATTTTCACAGGAAAAAAACTTATTAAAAAGTCAACATGTTCCTGATATATTTTTTTTACTAACTAGAAGTACTTAGGGCATAGCTCACGAATGGAAACATACCCCCATTCCCCACATGCTTTGGATGAAAAACAAAATAGGAGATGCACAATGGCATTTTATGGTTCAGATTCTGAGAATGTTTCAGTAAATTCTAATAAGGAGTTTAGGATGATTTGCAGATTCAAAATGGGTACTTCTCAGATAAAGCAATAGCCAAGTCCATGATTTGGTCATTGAAATCCCAAAAATATTTTGGATAGAAAAACAAATTCAGAAGTGCAGAATGGCATTTTTTGGTGAATATTCTGAGAAAGTTTCATTATATTTTGATTATGCATTTAGGAGGGGAAGCAGATACAAATGTGTACTATAGTGTGGACATACAACAAAGTTAACCACAAAAATCATTTGTATGAAGAAATGAAATAGAAAATGATTTTTCATGGGAGTAACGTTCTGTGGATGGTATCACAAAATAATTGATATTGGTATAATAATGGAAAAAAGATAAATAAATTAGATGAATAAATTTGTATATCTTTTTCAGAATTAGAATGGAACCTATCGAAAATTGGTGCAGTAAAAACAGAATTAGAAGAACCACCTAAAAAATCAATATCCGATGTAATGGACCGTGCCATGAAAGAAAGTGCAATAGACGATTGTGATGATGATAATGATTGGTGATAATCACTTTTAATTTATGTATATAATCTATGTATTTATTGTAAATAAACATACTTTTATCATCATTTAACCATGTAGTTTTAAGTCTGGCATACAAATTTGGACTGATCTACGTCTTACTAAAGTTATTTCCCTTTATAAAAATAAGATGATGTGTTATGATTGCCAATGAGACAACTCTCCACCAGACACCTAATGAAATAGAAGTTAGCAACAATAGGTCACTGTACGGCCTTCAACAATGAGCAAAACACATAACCGCAAACTGTATGTCTCATTACCGGAAGAGGAACCACCTAAAAAATCAAATACAATATGATGACACGAGGGCTATTCCATAAATACATACATGAGACCAGGTCACCCAGAGTAGTCACTTTGAAATATGAACTATTAGTGGACGTTAAATACTTTTTGTGTGCAGTGCCAATGTAAATTTCTGAAACTGCCTCTATAGGAGGTTGCCCCGGTTTCCAAGTGCCTTCATAATTGTCTTGTTCTGTAGTCCATTTCTAGAGTAATCTTCAAAAATAATTTATCAAAAGGAATATTTTGAATTATGTTGTTTACTTTGCAGTGTAACTCTTTCTATACAATATACAAACTGTTGACAGTCATTTGAAAAATTTGCTCCATATATAAAATTAAGATGGTTTGGTATGACTGTCAATGAGACAAATGCTCACCTGAGACCAAATGATATAGATGTGGGCAATGTATGTCTAATAATGTGACATTCATAAATTAAGGGGAGACATTTCATTCAGCCTACTAAAAAAGTTCAACCAAGTTTTATCCATTTTACTTAATTGGGTTTTTTGTCCAATTTTGCATTCTTTAGATATGTTGTTGTGCATTGTTGTTTGGACAATTTTTAAGTTTCTTAATCATGTCTTTTCGGATGCCAGAAGTAATTAGTGTATGCCCAGTAAAGAATGAACAAGTATCAAGTATTGGCTCTAGATTTTGTAATTGTTGTTAAAAAAACAAGAGTGCACTCCCTGAAATGTTTTGCCTGCTTTACTAAACCATGATTGATTTTATGATAATTTAATTTTGGATGTAACGCGTCTTCTGATTGGCTGACGTTGTTTTGTTTATCAGCTCATAGGCATAATTTTGTCATGTGACCGTGACGTCATCAGCGTTTTTTCATGGTTTACTCAGGTTTAAAATGGAATTTAGAATTAAATTATAAGAAATGACTGTAATATTTTTTCTGTCTATTCGAAATAACATAAAAAATGTGGTGCACACTTTAAAATAACCCGCTACGCGGGTTATTCAGTGTGCACCACATTTTTGATGTATTTCTTCATAGACAGAAAAAATATTAGTCATTCCTTAATTATTATTCCTAAAGATAAAGTTTTACTACAAGAATCACATAAACTTAACATTATCAATGATCCATGAAAATTAAGTCAAAGTCAAAGAGTGCACATGCTGAAATGTCTCGTCTGCTTTACTGACCATTGATTTTATGTTGAACTCTTAAAGATAAAGGTTTTACTACAAGTATCACATAAACTTAACATTTTTAAAGATCCATGACAATGAGGTCAAGGTCAGATAAGGTCAGATAAATCCTGTCGGACATACATGTACACCTTACCATTATTCCAAATATAGTTGGATTATTGCTTATGGTAATTATTAAAAACAGTCCAATGAACCATGAACATGAGGTCAAGATTATACCTGCCAGTCAGACATATTCACCTTACAATCATTTCATACACCAAATATAATTTACCTCCTGCTTGCAGTATTTGAAGAACAGATAAAACACAAAAACTTAACATTGACCAATAAACCATGACCATGAGGTCAAGCGTAGATTATACTTGCCAGACAGACATGTACACCTTACAATCATTCCATACATCAAATATAGTTAACCTATTGCCTACAGTATCTTAGAAGAGGACCATACTTCTGAAACAACATTGATCAATGAACCATAATCAAAGCGCTGTAAGCGCTGTAGGCAGTTAACCAAAAACCAAGGCAAACGTAATTATGAAAACTAAGGCAGTGTTGCTTCAATTTTTTTAAGATTTGAAAGAACAAACATTAAACATTCGTATATTGTACATTTATGTTCATTAAATGAATTGATTATTAAGGCAAATTAATTAATATTTCATCAAGGTTTTCAAAAGCAACTCATATATCAATGTAAATGACCCCCATCTTCACCCCCAAGTGCATGATGTTACTCCATACCAAGTTTGGAATAAAATGACAGGTGATTATAAAACAGTTGGTCAAACATTCTCGGGCTTTACACTGCTTGAAAGATTTATATGTTTTCTTTAAAATGGGCCATAAATGAAAATTATTATAGGCCCAGAAATAATTTAATAAATCATTAAAGTAAATTCAATTAACCTAGACTCATTTTTTGCATCAATAAAATTTTATAATAAACAAGAAATAATTGTAACAGGATGCCGTTACGAAGTCTCCCAAACAAAGCCTCCATAATTCGTCATTCCCATGGTCTCCTGACATTGGGCAAAGTCCAGTTCATATTGGTTTGGTCTAGTAAAGTGATAAGCATATGTGACACCTAGAAGATTGACCCTGTATGTCATTCAAATCTTTTTGAAATGATGAACAGGAATAAATATGGTTTAGGTGTGGGTATCTCGACCGTTTACAAGTTCTCAAACAGGAGGGATGGGGTGTCCGCATGGACTCCCCCTATATTTCATTTGATTTGTTTTATTGTCCCATACACGAATATATATGGTTTAGGGTGGGGATCTCGACAATTTCCAAGTTTTCAAACAGGAGGGGGTGGGTGACCCGAGGAACTCCCCATATATTTCATTTGCTTTGTTATGTTGTTCCATACATGAATATATATGGTTAAGGGTGGGGATCTTGACTGTTTACAAGTTCTCAAACAGGAGGGGGTGGGGTGACCCCAGGGACTCCTCCTATATTTCATTTGATTTGTTATATTGTCCCATACATGGAAACATATGGTTTAGGGGTGAGGATCTCGACTATTTCCAAGTTCTCAAACAGGAGGGGGGGGGGGGGGGGTGACCCCAGAGACTCCCCAAATATTTCATTTGATTTGTTATATTGTCCCATACATGAATATATATGGTTTAGGGGTGGGGATCTTGACTGTTTACAAGTTCTCAAACAAGAGGGGGTGGGGTGTCCCCATGGACTCCCCCTATATTTCATTTGATTTGTTTTATTGTCCCATACATGAATATATATGGTTTAGGGGTGGGGATCTCGACAATTTCCAAGTTTTCAAACAGGAGGGGGTGGGGTGACCCGAGGAACTCCCCATATATTTCATTAGATTTGTTATATTGTCCCATACATGAATATATATGGTATAGGGGGTGGGGATCTTGACTGTTTACAAGTTCTCAAACAGGAGGGGGTTGGGTGTCCCCAGGGACTCCCCTATATTTCATTTGATTTGTTTTATTGTCCCATACATGAATGTATATGGTTCAGGGGTGGGGATCTCAACCATTTCCAAGTTCTCAAACAGGACGGGGTTGGGGTGACCCCAGGGACTCCCCCTATATTTCATTTGATTTGTTTTATTGTCCCATACATGAATATATATGGTTAACCGGTGGGGATATCGACCATTTCCAAGTTCTCAAACAGGAGGGGGTGGGACGACACCGGGGACTCCCCCAAATTATTTTCATTTGATTTGTTTTATTGTCCCTTACAAGTATATATATTTTTTAGGGTGGGGATCGCGACGGTTTACAAGATAAATGTACATTTTCAAATTGAAGGGGTTGGGATGACCCCCAGGGACTCACCCTATATTTTGGTTGATTTTTTTTATTGTCCTGTTCTCATTACTGAAGATTGCATGTGTCTATCACTTACTGTTTTCGAGAAATAGTCATTTGAAAATTTTAAAAAATTAAATCAAATAGGGTTCCATAGTAAACCCCTCCCTTCTTCAGCCCCTCCAAATACCCCTAAATAGACCCCAATGCACAAGCAAAAGATTAATGGCTCCGCTAGACATGTTAGTCTAATATTTTATGAAACCCTAAGTATATCTGACAAACGGTCAAAGTTGTCTTCTTAGACGGTTTGAGTGGATTCGGTCCGACTTGTCTCGGGGACGAGTTGTCCACATTACTCAAAACCTCTCATCGACGTCGATTTCCGCATCTGTTTCATGACCTCGTTTCATTCATAAAATAACAACAACCTTATTTGGCAAGATAAGTTAAAATTACCGCCCACTTATATAACTTTATTTCCTCTATCATAGAGATTTGTTGTACATGAACAATATTCCTGCGCATTTTGCCATTTGGGAAATATAAACGACTTGTAATGACCGATTTTCGGCGATGAAATATTTCATACAATTGTTCTTTGACATCGTAGCCAAAAGCACAGGGGATAATAAACTACGTACGGATTTCTATTGAGCACTACTTCCTATGTGCAACTTCAAAAGTTTTGTGTAGATCGACGATCATTTAAGGTTTTTCTGGTCATATTTTTTGTATTCCAGAAGTAAAAGTATTAAAAAAATGTCCAATTAGTTATAAATAACATAATAGCCAGCTAGATAATAACAATGGCCCGTATTTCAGCATTTATTGGTTTGAACACAAATCTAGGGTGCTCGCATAAGGCAGCTTAACTGCCTAAAAATGAGGTTATGGACAGATGGGGTGTCATTCCATACACCAAATATAGTTGACCTATTGCTTATATATAGTACTTGAAAAACTTGACCAATGAACCATGAAAATACAGACCTTGAAACCAGAAACTTTAACCTTGATCATTGATCCATGAAATGAGTTCAAGGTCAGGTGAACCCTATCTGATTGGCATGTAGTTGTTGCAAGGATCTCATATACCAAATATAGTTATCCTATTACTCATAATAAGTGAGAAATTCACATGACAAAAAAAAACAATATTTTGCGAGCAGTTGCTGAACCATGAAAATGAGGTAAAGGACAATGGCCATATGACAGATGGAAAATTCGTAATAAACGGTATCTTCATACAAGATATGAAGCATCCAGGTCTTCTACCTATTGAAATATAAAGCTTTAAACAAACACTTTACACTGGTGCCTCCGCCAGATGTCTCTCACATACTGCAACTTTAGTTGCAGGCAAGACAAAAAACCAAGCCAGACAGACATGTGCACCTTACAATAAATCCATACACCAAATATAGATGACATATGGCTTATAGTATCTAAGAAAGACTTAACCAGGAAAACTTAAGATTGACCAATAAACCATAAAAATGAGTTCACTGTCAGATGAACCTTGCCAGACAGACATGTACACTTTACAATCATTCCATACACCAAATATAATTAACCTATCGCTTACAGTATCTTAGATGAGGACCATACTACTGAACAACATTGACCAATGAACCATGAAAATGAGGTTATGGTCAGATGGGATGTTGCTGGCAAAGCTTTATAAGAAAAGCTTGACAGAAATCATCATATTCTACTTTCTCACACATATTTGGATCAATGTTAAATACTTTTCATCTTGAAATAATGGACTTAATATTTTGGGCCAAAAAAGGCCCTTACCGAATGCACAACTATAACAAATTACTGACAAACATAAAATAGATGATCAAACACAACTTACTCAGCCTGCAAATAATTGTAGCAAATGTTGATTTTCTTTTTGTTTAGGAGATATCCTTCATTGATAATATATAAGTAGATTTTAAGTCAGTGTATCTTTTTACAGCTTGTTTTCCAGTGATTTAACACCTCAAGTAACGTTTAGGACTGAAAAATTTGTTTGTGTTTTGGAAGCCAGTCACACTCAAAAGAATCTTTAAATTTTGATTGTTTATGGAAACCTTGATTTTCACCAACTAATAAGACAACTTACCAATAAAGGCCCTTAACTATTTAGCATTATTTTATATATTTCAGTGTAAATATATGAGTGTATTTTGTATAGACAGAAGGCTTAAATAGATGGTATTCTCCTTGAATTTTGAAACACAAAGATTATATTATTATTTAACCTTGTAGCAAACTTTTCAAAGAAATGAACATCATAATCAATAATTTTTATTGCTCATTTTGTAAAAATATATAAACTGATAACAAATATTAGATAAACATATAATTCTATAAATAAATATTTTGATCACAGTTTGAAAGATGAAAAAGGACGGAATAAAAATTCTATTGTATAAAAGGCAGAAATAAAAAACATATTTACCCAACCCAATAAACATATATGTAAACATATCTATAAAAATAATTGCAAGAAAGGGATAAACAATATAATGAGCATAAAAAAAGAGATTCAAATATGTGAAATGGATTAAGACATTACTTAAGGAGCTGTTAAGGAAAAACACTCTATTTGTCCTACATTTCTTAATATATTTTCTCATAAAAGGCACTTTACATCATAATAATTCTTGTCTTTTCCTAAGGTAATTTTGAATAGAGAGATTTTCTTTCCACTGTTATTATTTTTTTAAAAACAGTAAACACTTTATGAAATTTTTTTAAATTTTATTTTATAGCATTAAAGGATAATCTTATATCAAATATACTCTGCTAAATATTCTAATATTTTTATGCATAAATCCCTTCAATGACATATTACCATCAAATGCATACTAACGGCCTACTGTTCCATTCATTTTAATCATCATGCATGAAATAAAACAAGAAATTAGAATTTTCCTTTTTCATGTCTTCACAGAGATTTCATTTATTGCCTTTTCAGTTTACGTGGCATCAGCTTTATATTGTATAACATACAATGTATATGAAATGGAGAGGCAGTAAAAAAATATAATGTAAAATCTAAATTTACAGAGCATTGATGAAATTGCACTACTTTGTCTTAATGGTTGCCTATTACAACAGAAGCTATCAAGTGGTCCATTCTTTATAGACTGTTTCAGAATAGCAATTTAAATACTATTAACCTCTTATAACAAAAATAAAGTAAAATAAAACTTAAGCTGTAAAGCATCTAAATGTAAATTATATAGCAAATTTCATTTTTGGAATAACTGTATGGTATTTTTATAATTGCTGATGTCAACTACTCATATTTCTGTCACAAAAACAAATATTAGCAACTGTAAAATCTAAGATTTACATTTACAATAATAAAAGTACAATACAGTTGTTACAACAATAACATTAAGGTTATTTCAATGCACTTGCTTTATTGTCCCCATTAAATTATTTTTTGATAAACAGAAACATTGTCTGTGATTGTGCAATCCAAAGGTAAATCCTGGATTCCTCCCCCCCCCCTTTTCCCTTTTTGAGATATATATATATATATGTATATATGTTGTCAAATCAAAATAGTTGTTACAAACAAATTGCATAAGAATAACAAAAATAATGTACTTGAAAAAGATTTTTGCAACAAAAAAAAGATTACTTCTGTTCCTTCAAAGTCTTAATATAAATTATTCTAAGCTTTGAATATTTTTGCTTTGAGAAATACAATATTGTAATTTTCAATGCATTTTTTGTTGTTGTGATTTTTCCTTTATAACCTTTTATATTTAAATGGAAAAAATATCATTTTGTGTTTTAAAAGTTCTAGTAACAAGTAATTTTGCTAAAAATATTGTGGATCAATATAATCATAAGTTCCAAAAAAATGTTGTAAATGTGTATTGTCTTTTTAACTTTAAATTAATTTTTCAGTTTTATCAACTCTTTCATCAACTAAATTTATCTAGCCTTCTTTCTCTTTTCTCTAAGCTTAGCTTCTTTCTTCTTCTTCTCTTGTTCTCCAACTGGTCTAAAATTAAAAATTAACATGTTATCTGGCTGTTGATTTTCTTGTTTGAATTGTTTTACATTTTGTTGTGTCAAGATGTTTTATAGCTTACTATACAGGACGGATTTGGCATTTTACTCATTGTTGAAGGGACTATGGTGACCTAAAGTTGCTTACATCCACGTCATTTGATCTCTGGTGGATAGTTGTTTCATTGGCAATCAAACCATATTTCCTAATTTTTAAATACTCAATTAAAAGCCGCAATAGATGAATGGATTTTCATTAACAATTTTATCGTTTTTTTCTTCATTTTTGTATTTAATGATAGACAAAACTATTTGTTTTATCAGGTATATATTACTATATGAAGCTTATCATGTGTTTTCTAGTTGTTTCTAACTGAACTGATTAAATGCACTGAATTTGAAAAAAATAGTCTATTTTTTGAACCATAAATTATACTTTAATGGGCATTAAATGGAAAGGTGTTCATAATCCATTTATTGTTGTTACTCATCCTGGTTTAAATTTTCAAATGAGGATAGTGCTAGGCAAATAAATGACTGTCAGGAGGCTTCCTTGAAAAACCCCATATATTTTAAAGCAGTACTCACAAAATAATATTTTTCATAGTCTGGCGAACCTTAAAATTCAATAGCTCTTCACCAAATAACAACTGAAATTACCTCATATAAGTTTCCATTGGCCAGTTTATAAAATATGAGAAGACAAAAGCTCTGTTAATTCCCTGACTATGTCGTATCTTGTTCAGATTAGATTTGGCATCAATATTTGTATCTCGTCTCTGTATGGCTTCTTCTCTTCGTTTTTCTGTATCCTGTTTCATCCTTTCTCTCACTTCCTCTTCTAATTGTAGAAGCTATAATAACAGTCAAATATTATATATATATTGTTAATTAATTTGCCACTTTCTACATTGTTCTATAAGAATACCAAATTACAGGATCAGACAGGCAAAAAGATTCAACCTAAAGGTTACTTAATTCTGTCAAATGTATGTCAACTGAAGTGCAACACACTACTCAATCTGAACTTAAATTACTACATAACTACATACTTAGACAGGGGCGGATACAGGATTTTAGGTTAGGGGGGCACAAATTTAAATTTTTCGCCAAGCGGAGCCAGGTGAAAAATGTTTTGAGGTAAAATTATCGAAACATTCTTTATTAAGATGAGGACAACCCATGCTTTGAAAATTTTAGGGGGGAGATTTGAACATCAGTAAACTTCTATCACCTATTTTTTATAACAGTGACCTAGACCTTTGACCTGTTGAATAAAAAATCTAGATTTCTTCCAATTTCCAATATCTTCCATCTGTATAAGTTTTATTCCTATCAAGCACGCATGGAAACTCAAGCTACCGACCAACAATAAACCATTTTCCCAAATTATTTTTTAATTTTTAGTAATAGTGACCTTGTCCTTTGACCAATTGACCAATACATTACTCCAATCAAGCAAGAGAAACCTAAAACTATGTCAGATTCTGTGTTACTATATCAAATGACAGTCTACAGGATTCTGCTTAGATAGGTTAAAATGTGTATTATGTATTAGCTACCTCATTTATTCTTGCCCTTTCTTCTGCCTGTCTCTTCAATTCTTCTTGTTGTTTTCTATCCAATTCTTCCACATGTCTTTGTTCCTCTAAAGCAGCGAGTTCCCTGTTACAACAAATATAACCATTATAGTCGGTACCCCTCTCTTGAATCTGAATTTTACTCCCAAACTTCCGACTTATACTCGAGTTCCTACGGTACTTGATTCAATTAGGATTGTGGAAGTTTCGTATAGAAAGATTGAAATCACAAAGATTCTAACTTAAATCCCCTCTTGTGGTAGCTAACCAAAAGTAACCCCTTATCATAAAGATGTAATTGTTAAATCCCTTACTTGCTGCATCATTTTTTCAAGGTGCAATTGTCAAGTAACTTCAAAACTATTTTTTTGAAAAATGTGAAACAAGTTAAATGAGAAAAAATTTAATTTAGCCTGTCTTACCTCTTTCTCCTCTGTTCCTCTAACAGAGCCTCTTTCTGAGCCTGTACAACTTCTTGTTGTTTTCTAATTTCGTCTTGCTCCACCTGAATTCTTCTCAACTCCTCTTGTTCAATCTACATATAAATATAAAGTTAAAGAGAAAAATGTTTCAATTCTACAATGATGGGGTCATAAATGATTCGTCTTTAAAAGTATTCTAACAGACTAAGACACAAGCACTCTAAAAATGGACTCACATTTTTTTTTTTTCTGCAAGAAATAATACTAATTTTCAAGATTATACCAACAAAAAAAAAACCCAACAAAAAAGGCTCTGTGTTGCTCACCTAGGTTTATATGCATCTTCAACAATGGCCCCTCTTCAATATTGTGAACTAGAATAGAATTCATGACAAAAATCTTCTTTTTTTTTTATCTTGTATTGTTGATCATTTTATCTGTTTAAAATTTCTCTGGATCTTTAGTTTTGCCCAAAACATAGAAAAAGGTAAAAAATCGTCATTATGGGCAAATCAAGAGTCTACCAACAATTTTCAGCAAAATTTAAATCATTTGTAGATCTTGTTTTGCTGATATGTTTGCTATATAAAGTGTCTATCTATCTTTAATATTTTTTGTAATAGGCAAATACAAAAACAAGAGGCTCATGAGAGCCTAATATTGCTCACCTGTAATTTCAGTTTCAGGCATTTGACTTATTTGTAGATCTTACTTTGCTGAACAATTTTGTCATGTACACTTTCTCTCTTTCTATAATAATATGAAAGATCATACATAACCCAAAACTAAAATTTCCTAAAAAATTCCTATTTCTGGACAGTAACCCAACAATAAATTGGACTGAAGATTACTTGACAGGTAGATCTAAACCTGTTTAACACTTTCACCTATGTCAGTTTTGCTCTTACTGCTTTAGTTTTTCAGATGAAAGCCAAAAACTTCATTTGACCCCTATGTTCTAATTTTAGAAACTGCCGCCATGTTTTTTTAATGGCTCAAATCCCCGAATACAATCTATAAACTAGATATCCTAAGTAACATTCAATTAAAGTTTTTAAGTATTAGGCCAAGTAGTTTCAGAGAAGAAGATTTTTGAAAAAGTAATTAGACTTTCACAAAAAATGTAAAAAAAAAAGCGTTTAAAGGGCAATAACACCTCAAGGGGTCAATTGACTATTTTGATCATGTTGACTTATTTGTAGATCTCACTTAGCTGAATATTTATTGCCATTTATACTTTCTATCTATTATAATATAAAATAAAATAAAAGAACAGAGTTCCAATGTCCACCGTGTTGCACATATTTTATTTTTCCAATGGGTGTAACTCTTTTAAAAAAAGTCGATCGTCCACCATTATAGAACTTGCTGATATTAACCTATAGTATAAATTTTATAAAAAATCTGGCAAGAATTGTACCTGTGAGAGCGCTAACGAGGCCATTTTCCATAAATTTAATATTTCCAAGGGGCATAACTCTTTTTAAAAAAGTTGATCGTCCACCATTTTAGAACTTGTCAGAGATATTGCTGATATTAAACTATAGTATAAGTTTTATAAAAATCTGTCAAGAATTGTACCCTTGAGAGCGCTAACGAGGCCATTTTCCATAAATTTAATATTTCCAAGGAGCATAACTCTTTTAAAAAAAGTTGATCGTCCACCATTTTAGAACTTGTCAGAGATATTGCTGATATTAACCTATAGTATAAGTTTTATTATTATACCTTACATTATATAGTAACTATTTGATTGGCTAATACGTAATCACGTGTCATAGTTTAATTTAGATGTTTTTCCAAAAATTGGCAGGAGCGATGAATAACCCCGACAAATTGTAGCCTCCATCGAACAACCCTATAATTCACCGGTGAATAACCATTCTCGTTCATCAATGATCACGAGTTAACTCCCTTTAAAGTATGACGTCACTTAACGTCAAATAAACAAAACAAATATGATGGATTCCACAGTACAAGGTTCGCGTTTTGGTCAGTCTGATGAGAATGCGTTAAACCAGTTGCTTGAAGATAAGGATGCTCAAAATACCAAAAAGGCCACCAAAGCAGCAATGAATGTGTTTTTACAATTTCTTTTGGCTGAGAACACGGACGTCATTGACTTTGAAACAGCAGATGAACTTTGTGCAGTCCTGAAGCGCCAGGGTCTAGGAAAGACGGATCACACACTTTCGTTGGACGAGGATGATCTCAGTAAATTATATGGCAGTGTTGCCTTAAACACAGATACCCCTTGTGGACTGCTTCATAAAGTTTGGTTCGACATTATGTTTTATTTGTGCAGAAGGGGCAGAGAAAATCTCCGAGGTATGAATAAAACAACATTTGCCATTACTCAGGACTCTATAAAGGCAGGGAATATGTATACCAAGTAGTAGATGAGTTGGACAAAAACCACAGGGAAACGGATGATACCATAACAGAATCACATATGTATGCAGTAAATGGTAGGTCTTACATGACATTAAATTTACAACATACGTGTTACGAGCAGCATTTTAAAATTAGTCTTTAATCGATTACATTTTGTTTTTATTACATTTGTACAAACAGGATTTAGAATCAAGACAGATGAGACACTCATCATTTATCACACAAAATGAAATTAAAAATGGACCGTCAATGAACATCTTACTTTTAAAACAACCATTGCATATCAATATGACAATAAACAAATACAAATTAATCTATATTTTTACATACACCTGTACCTATTCATGCATATATGCGCCACTATTTTGAATGAAACAAACCATACCGTATTTAATAAAAAAAAAATTGCAATTGCATTTTAGTGTTATAATTCTTGTTGTACATGTAAGAATAAAACAACTTGTTATTGTTTCTTAAATTCTTTATGTTTTTATTATATTATAAGTCACCCACTGTGTCCAGTTGCAAGTTTTCGAAAGTACCTTTCAAAACTTCATGCTAGAAACAATGATTTGTGGCAAAAACCTGTTGATCAGTTCACAGACTCTCAAGATGTATGGTACTATAACCAGTCATTGGGTAAAAACACTCTCTCTAGTTTGATGAGGACTATCTCACAACAAGCTCGTCTCTCTAGGGAATTTACCAACCATCCAATCCGTGCAACCAGCATAACAGTTCTTGATATTAACAAATTTTCTGATCGGGATATTATGTCAGTGTCAGGACATAAATCTGAGAGTTCAATAAAAAATTACACTGGAAAAGTGTCAACCACTAGGAGATTTGAAATGAGCAGTGCTCTCTCTGCTTCAGTAATGACAGATAATATGCAATTCCAAGTACACGGGGAACTACAATTATCGCAAGAACAAATAGAGGAGCTGATTCAACCTATGGAGAATAATCTTGTCCAACCTTATGCAAATGCCGTTGATGTACCATTTATGCAGGCAGTCCCAGCAGACGAACCTATAGTTATTCCTCAAATTCCAGCTACCATTGCCCCAAATGTTATTGACAAAGTTTTAAAACCAATAGAAAACATGCCATTCACGCCAATGATATCAAATTGTGTTGTAACATTCAATGTTAACATAAATTCTGTTTAATAAGTAGTGACAGTAAAAACAAAATTTGAACTCTAAATTTTCTGTCCTCTGTTTGATGTTGTTATTGACTACAATTTATTTTGACATATAAACTATAAAGTCTTTTATTTCACATTTTTTTCTATTTTTTACAACATGAAACGTACGAGAAACCAATTGTTCTGCACGATATATATGCATATGTTATAGGAACACGATTCATCGGTTATGCTCGAGACAAAATGTTTAAAAACCTTTAACCAAAACCTAAAAATAAGAGCTGGTTATTTTTTTTTAGATTTACCATATTTTACACTTAACTGTTAGTTCGGTATAATAAAACAGTTATGGCCCATTAAGTCGTTGAATATCCAAAATTGTCAACCCGAGTAAGGGTTATTCCCCTCGGGCTAAAGCCCTTGTGGAATAACCCTTTCGCGGGTTGACAATTTTGGATATTCACCTCCTCAGTGGGCCATAATTGTATATTAAAATCTGTCAAGAATTGTACCCTTGAAAGCGCAAACGAGGCCATTTTCCATAAATTTAATATTTCCAAGGGCATAACTCTTTTTAAAAAGTTGATCGGCCATCATTATATAACTTGTCAGAGATATTGCTGATATTAACCTATAGTATACGTTTTTTAAAGATCTGGCAAGAATTGTACCCGTGAGAGGGATAACAAGGCCATTTTCCATAAATTTAATATTTCCAAGGGCATAACTCTTTTTAAAAAGTTGATCGGCCATCATATATATAACTTGTCAGAGATATTGCTGATATTAACCTATAGTATTCGTTTTTTAAAGATCTGGCAAGAATTGTACCCGTGAGAGGGATAACAAGGCCATTTTTCATAAATTTAATATTTCCAAGGGCATAACTCTTTTTAAAAAGTTGATCGGCCATCAATTTATAACTTGTCAGAGATATTGCTGATATTAATCTATAGTATAAGTTTTTTTTAAATCTGGCAAGTATTGTACCCGTGAGAGGGATAACGAGGCCATTTTCCATAAATTTAATATTATCAAGGGGCATAACTCTTTTAAAAAAAGTTGATCGTCCACCATTATAAAACTTGTCCGATATATTGCTACTATTAACCTATATTATAAGTTTTATAAAAATCTAGCAAGAATTGTACCTGTGAGAGCGCAAACAAGACTGGACAGACGGACGGACAACCGGTATTTCCATGTCCCCCGCAACGCGTTACGCAGGGGACAATAACCAAAAACAATAAAATTTAATGAAAATAAACTATTTCCAACAGTAACCCAACAATGGGTTGTCGAACTTGTCTAAAAATTTTATAACAGATAGATCATGACCCATTTATCACTTTAACTCCCTTTCACTTTTGCTCTAACTGCTGTAGTTTTTGAGATATAAGCCAAAAACTGCTTTTGTTCCCTATGTTCTATTTTTAGCGGCCATGTTTGTTGATGGATCAAAACTTCGGATACAATTTATAAACTAGATACCCTAAGGAACATTCAGTTAAAGTTTGGAAGTACTCCTTAAGGAGTCAATTGACTATTTTAATCATTTGACTTATTTGTAGATCTACTTAGCTGAAAATTTTTGCCATTTACACTTTCTCTATCTATTATAATATTAAAGATAATAACCAAAAACAGTAAAATTTCATAAAAATAAACTATTTCGGATAGTAACCCTACAATGGGTGGTCCAATTGGTCTGAAAATTTCATAGCAGATAGATCTTGACTTTTTCATCACTTTAACTTTGTCATTTTGCTCTTACTGCTATAGTTTTTGAGATAAAAGCCAAAAACTGCATTTGACCCCTATGTTCTATTTTTAGCTTTGGCGGCCATGTTTGTTAATGGATCAATACTTCTGATACAATTTATAAACCAGTAAACCCTAAGGAACATTCACTTAAAGTTTGAAGGTATTTGGCCCTGTAGTTTCAGAGGAGAAGATTCTTGAAATAGTTTATGACGACGACGACGGACACAAAGTGATGGCATAAGCTCACATGGGGCCCTTCGGGCCTGGAGAACAAAAAAGGGTAAAACATCATCAAATCTTATAAGGAGTTGACTGACAATTTTGGTCTGGTTGACTTATTTGTAGTTCTGATTTTGCTGGTATTTGTGTTAATTACGGTGTCTAGCTATCTACTATAGTTTCAAACAAAAATTATAATTAAGTAACCAATACCTCCTACAAGGAGTTGACTGATGATTTCCTCAATTTGATTTTATTAGTAGATCTTATCTTGCTGACCATTTTTGCTATTCAAAATTTCACTTTTAGTTATGAAGATTATAGACTAAAGCATTAAATATTCATGTAGGTAAAAATCTTATTTAAGGGCAAAAACTCCTATAAAGAGTCATCTGACAATTTTGAAAAAATTGGAGAGTAGGTAGACATTCTGAACATTTTCCCCTAGTACCAGATCTTTTTTTTTATCTTTTATAACATTTTTTAACATATAACTGATTACATATGTATACCCCTTTGTTCTATTTTAGCATGCAAAATAATTAAACACATTTTTTAAACTAGATACCATAAAGGATGAGTGTGGCCAAATTTGGTTCCAATGGCCAGGTATTTTCAGAGAATAAGATTTTTATAAAAGTGAACTGAAGTGAAAGAAGACAATAGATGTTGACAGACAAAAGATGCCAAGTGATGGCAACAGATGAAAAAAAACATATATCATTATAATTTTCATGAGCTTTCTTTATCAAAGGATTGTTATCTTCATCAAAATTTTGGTGAGTCAAACAGAATACAAACTCAGTCTCTAACTATTTAATAAACAACCTCATACCAAAACTCGACATCTGGTGGCATGACAAGAACAGGTGTCATGGTTGTATCTTCTAGAGGCAGAAGAAACAGTGGAACAACAGAAAGGTGGAAGAACAGCACAAGACAAAAAACATGTGCCACAGCAACTTATTGGTAGGTGTAAAATACATCATTACTAAATGAGGGGCAGTAGGAAGGAGGTTTACCCCGCATTCCCAAAAAGTTAATCATTCTTTCCCTGATCCTGAAAAATGAATCATGAATTCCCAAGTCCCGATAGGTATTAATCCAGAATTCCTGTGAAAATAAAGGCCTAATCCTAAATTCCTGCATAAAATAGTTTGATTGTACACAATACATACCTCTTCCTCTAACTGTCTACGTCTTTCTTCTTCTTCTCTTTCCTGCCTGGCAAATTCTTCTTCCATTTCCTGGAAAAATGTAGATTTTGAAATGAAGCACATGCATTAGTAATTAAAGGTGATCTGTAAAATTTCATTTAAACAAAGGCTGTTTTCTTTTGAATTGAAGGACAGGAAAATTTAGCAATATACCTATTTTCCTTTTTGTCTTGCACATTTATCATGCTGCAGACAGAACAAAATTTTAAATTATAAAGTATTAAACTCTGTTGACATTTCTGGTATTTTTTTTTTTATCAAAATCTATATCTATGCATCTATCTTACCTTTCTCTTATTTTCTTCTTCCTTTTCATCTTCCTCTTTTTTAAGCCTTTCTTCTTCTTGTCTTTTCTTCCTTTCTTCGTCATCCATCAACATCATAATTTTTTGAAGTTCCCTCTGTCGAGCCTCCTCTTTCAATTGTTTCTCCTGTTGTTTCCTGTCTATCAACTGCTGTCTTTTCCTGGCTAATTCTTCTTTCTTCAGTTTTGCTTTTTCTTCCATTCTTTTCATCCTTTCTTCTCGCAATGCCTGTCTGACATCTGCTTCAGTCTGTTCAGCCATGTAAGCCTCTCTTTCAATTCTTTCCAATTCCATTTGTACCTCCTGTTGATTATGAATATATAGATAATGAATTTAATTAAACATTCAAATCATTATTCTAATTAATAGTTTTTCCCTGCAGTTTCAGCAATTTAGAATTTAAAAGATATTTTTTATATAAAAAAAAACAACAATTTTGTTTCTTTCTTCATTTTATCTAGACAAAATATTTACTTTAGGTTATGAATCAATAAAACCCAAACCCAATCAAAGCCAATAAAACCAAAACCTAAAAACTAATACTGAGGAAGGTATTTTGGACTCAAAACTATATCATATCACATTAAATTCATGAAATTAGGTCATATTATTTGTGAAACTTGTCGAATTTCAGGACTAAATATTTTGTTCAGTTTATTAACAGGTGTTCAGTAAAACAGTTAAATAAGAAATGTTTACAAGACTTCAAATTCAGTAGGTTTCATGGCCAATGTAGTCTAATCAATTAAATCATTGGATTATTCACTATCAAAAATAAAATATAAACTGACAATATACCATAACAGAAACAGATTCATAATTTTTCTGACACATACAACATTTTTTCCATCACCAAATCTGAATTATTCCTTAATATGGTGAAGAAAAAAACCTAGAAATGACTCTCTTATCTCATCTGTATACTAAAATAAAAGATGAACACATACTTATACAAGCTGACATGGGGAATGGGTGGGGGCTCATTTAATTATGTATTCTTCAATTTTTCAGGCCATTTTTCTCTTTCTTTTTGCCCATTAATCGCTATTTTTTATATTTAAGCACCCCATTATTCTCATTTTTATTTATTTTTTTTTGCCCTTTATTCTCTATTTTTTAAACCCAATCCAGACCCTCTCATATTGTGACAATAATCGTCTAATTTGGTAACCAATTATATAGTGTTCAGAATAGAAAATAAAACTATAAAAAATGTTGAAAAAAATCAACATCAATACAAGATGTAACTTTGGAAAACTATTACCAGTGGAACAAATAACTGTTATTTGGCCTTTAATTGTATTATGCAGACACACAAATGCAAGAACAGATTTCTGATTTTCTATACTAGCAATAAACTCACTCATTAGTTTTAACAAATTTACACAAACCTATTGTGTAACATTCTTCCCTAAAAATTAAATTTTACATAAAATATTCCGACACCACACTGCATTGTTTACTTACATTATCTGTCTAAAAACAAAGTCATATTTATAATCAGTTGTAATTACAAATTAACATTACACCCTTTTTATATAAACTTCCTAGGTGTGGAAGCTGTACAGATAACCAGTGAGCACTAACAAACCTCAGTCAGTATATCATAAGGAATCTTTTGTCTGACAACACACTAACAAACCTCAGTCAGTATATCATAAGGAATCTTTTGTCTGACAACACAATGGAAAAAAAACTACTTGTGTTACCCGAATAGACATTATCAACTTCATAATCAAATAGTACATCTGCATTTTCTAACCCTAAAAATGACTAAAAATGAAAGTTTGAAAGGAAAACATGAGAAAATTTCAGTACAGGGGATAAACAAAGTTAAATTAATAGAAACAATTCCTACATTCAGAGAAAAAAAATCACAACATACAACACAGAAAACTAAATCAAATGCATAAAAAACTTAGGGTGAACATAGGTACCCTTGCTAGATATACAGTGTCTGCTCCTTTAGAGGCACCAATTGTGTTGCTCATTTCAAGGAAAAAAGCATGAGACATAGATATTCCATAAGGGTCAACCAGATCATAATGGTGTCTATAAAACTTTTGAAAAGATGACTTCAGTTTAGTACTCATTTGAACTTCCCTGTCAATTTCTAGATGAAAGTCAAGATATGAAGCAGACCAAACTTTATCTCTTGTATCTTTTATTCCAAGTTCAATAGGATAGATTCAATCAACAGTAACAAAATCCAATTTTTGTAGTCCATGCAATTTATTTCTTAAACTTTAATGGTATTTAAAATAGTACCAAAAACAGAACTGAAGCACATGTGATTGCAAATCAAGATCATAAGACCAACTTGTGTTATTAACCAAATGTTAGAAAAGCAGGATCAAGGCTGAAAATTACAGGCTTGGAAAACACTTCAAGTAACATATGGCATAAGATAACAAGAATGTGTCCATAGTACACGGATGCCCACTCGCACTATCATTTTCTATGTTCAGTGGACTGTGAAATTGGGGTCAAAACTCTAATTTGGCATTAAAATTTAAAAAAATCATATCATAGGGAACATGTGTACTAAGTTTCAAGTTGATTGGACTTCGACTTCATCAAAAACTACCTTGACCAAAAACTTTAACCTGAAGCAGGACCAAAAACCTTTAACCTGAAGCAGGACAGATGGACGGATGGATGAACAAACAAATGGATGGACGGACGGACAAACGAACAGACACACAGACCAAAAAATATAATGCCCCTAGGTGGGGCATAAAAATGTATTTGGATTTAACTCTTAATGAGTCAATTAATTTACCTGTAATTTATCTTTAAATTTCTTATCGTCAGCAGACATGCTGTTGGATTGGGCTGCAATCTTCTCCTCCAATGCTCTAATTTCTTCCATACGTTGCTGCAATATCAAGTAATATTATTTCATCCACCTTTATAACACCACAACAGTCATAGTTCTACTTACACTAGGAATTTTAATGAGTATTTGAGCACCACTTAGTGAAATGTATCTGAATTTTATTTAAAAATGATACTCCATCAATCAGACTTTTCATTACTTAATATAAATTTTTATTAAGAGTAAGTTTCTCCTTGAAAAACCGACATTATCAATTGTACTTATTCAATGAGACAGTTCACCTTGCAAAAATTTAAATACCCTGAACAACACCAACTTATTCTTATGAAAGGTTTTATTTCCTTTGCAATAAAACTGAGTTAAGATTTAAAGCTGATCAACAATTTTAAAGTAATTATGAGTATGCTATTAAAGTGCAAGTGAGCTCACATCCAATTAATACATTTTCTAATAAATTTGCAAGAAAATGCCATACATTCCTGCAATTTTTTCATATTCACTTTAATCATAGCAATAGAATTTAAATCTTGTGCAGATCCATTAATAAAATGTGTTTTGAACAATTAACTTTTTATGTGGTTTTCTGTGAATAACCTGTTACCACATGCAGCAAAAATTGATAAATAATAATACATAAAATAACTGTGTATGCAGAGGTAGAAGTGACGTAAGGTCTATTTATTCCTAAAAGTATGGTTATAGATATAATGCATTTGTAATTAGCTTGGAATATGTTTTACACTTTGATTTTCTGCTAAACAGAATTCTCAGAGATAATTAAAATTCAATGAGAAATATATTCCACTGTTGATATGCATTATGTATATGCTATATGTATAAGTTCTTGCTTCTCCAGACATCGATCCTATTAATGCTCATGCTCAACATATCAAGGTAAATATGTTTTTTGAAGTTATACATAAGCATATGTAAAACAGTTACAATGCATGAAAATACAATAGTAAACAAACAAAAAACCTTTAAAGTATAAATTAAGTTTCTGAAATTTGATGAACTGACTCCAGAACAATTGTCTATTTGCCAATTCTGCAATTGACCACGTAACTAGGGATCCATTTGTACGAGTTGTTTCCCTTAAAAACATACATTTTCATTGCCACATCGATCAGAGTAAGCAGAAAGAGTAAATTTATATGTGTGTAATGTGCGTTATCTGTAAGTTTTTTTTCAATATTCTAATTACATTGAATCTTTTTGTTTGGCTAAAATCCACTGATATCAATAGTTATTTTTGATTAAAAATTGGTTCAACATACTTCAAACCAAGGCTTCCAAAACGGTCATATATGCCGGACATGTATAATGTCCGGTAAAAGTCCGGCTGGGCAAAGCATGAAACGGTCATCTACTTTTTAGTTTTCAAGGCTTTAAGAGACGGTCATTTTAACATAATTCGCGATCTTTTTGACCCAACGTTTTGCCTTTAACAGCCACACATTTCCGGTCATAAAAGTGACACGATCATTAAGTACTATCAAAACAACCCCTACTTTAATACCTTCTCATTTTAATCAAGGCTAATTAGTTGGAACAGCTGAAATTAACCTGTTCAGGTGACAGGTAAACTATTTTGAACCGGACATTGATCAGTCGATTCAAAGTTATTTTCTTACATTTCAGCGGTTTGCATCAAATTAATTTAGTCAAAAAGATTTAAATTATCAGAAATACGTTTACAAATATGATTTGATGAAAAAATTAAAAAGGTGAAAATGAAACATCGTCATAACCACTTTGTTTGAACTAGAGAAATGTCTCGGTTTGAACTAGTACACGTGTGCGCATGTGCGCAGGTGTGAAATTTAATTATGCATCCTAATTTCTTCAAAAAATGCTTAAATTGTCATTGATACCTTTATCTCATGTTTATTTTGAATATTTTCTTGAAGAAATAACGTAGAAGGAGCTACTTCCACTCATTCATGCTTTGCAAACGTACACGGAATTTACGTATCCGTCTCTGGTCCATGTTTTACCATTGTCAAGATAACATCCGGTATAAGATTTATAAACGAAAGTAAAGTTTTTGACAACGTTATTTTGCACAAATAAAGAGTCTAAGGCAGATATGAGTACGCTGATGTAATTTATTGTTGCACACTTCGAATGATGCACTGCCAATTTAACAGTTTACGTCAGAACTTCGAATTTGAATCAAAGAAAGTTTAATATCGTTTTTTTTTTAATGTCAATCATTGGGATGGCCAACTCGGCAACTGATTACCATAATTGCCTTTTGTTTATTTAGTCTGAAGGAATTAAAATCGGGATTATACATAAAATGTCCGGCTGGCTAAAAATAATTTTGGAAGCCCTGCTTCAAACTACAATGCTTTGCATGGGCAGCAGCCTATTTTGTCCAGTATAGAACCAGTCTACAACTGGCAAAGGGAAACAACTTGCGTCAAAAGTGTGTAATAACAGAATCAAATCGGAAATTGGCAAATAGTGGATTAACATAGTAATAAATACATTTTTTAGGCATGTATGGGGACTAAATAATAAAATGGCAAACACATTTTTAACCTGATATTTCTCGTAAATTGTTTTATTCATTTAAAAAGGTTACAATTCCTGTTCCTTGTAACATATATTTTGGTCTGAATGCAAATTTTAAATGCTAATTGGGCATAAAAACATTCTCAAACACCATGCACTTATAAAATGAAGAATAAATGTGTACCAAAAATACACCATACCCTTTACTCAAAACCATGCACCATCTTTTATACTTACTGGTGAACTAGACTTTAATTCATAAATAAAAATACATTTAATATTCATTTTGTAACCATTTTTTCTTGTGAATGTATATATTTTCCTGTAACATATAGTTATTTCAGTAACAAATATTGAAAAACGGTATGGGTTCATAAACAAACAAAAAATGGAGTTAAAAGATAAGTCTTATATAATATAATAAATAATCAATTTATATGCTGATTTGTTACTTTTAAATATGACTGTTTCCAAATCCTTTGACCTTGGTCTTATAACTCATATTCAGTCTCTCATAAGGAAATCCTGTACCAAGTCAGGAATACGACAGTTGTTTGCCAATCGTTTGATATGTTTGAGCTTTTGATCTTCCATTGGATAAGGGACTTTCCATTTTGAATTTTCCTTGAAGTTCAGTATTTTTGTTATTTTACTTTTTTCAAAGGGTACTGTGCACATAATAAATATAATCAACTGCTAACAAAATTCAATTGTTTATTCTCACAATTTATTCTTGTTTAAGGACAATAAAACATTAGAAAAAGAATTAACAGGTAAGGAAGCCTAATTTGCACTTTATAATTTCTTATCATATTATTGATATGATCCTTCTTACCAGTTTCTCTTGTTCTTTTAAAGCTCTTATTCTCTCTTTCTCCAGCTGTAGAGGATCTTTAGCTCCGCCTTTAGATTTTTTCGACCTTATGCTACTGCTGCCACCAGATTTTTTACTTTTTTCATCCATCTTTTTCTGTGGCTTTCCTTTCAGTATTTTTTCTTTTGCAAGTTCTTCTCTTTTCTTTTTTGGATCAGAAAATATATCAGTCTTATCTTAATTCCTATTTCATACAATGATCAATTTCATAGAAAAAACAATATTTCTTTAAATAAGTCTTTCCGTAATTTATATAGACCTTATTTTTTGCATGTGCTTTTACATTAAAATACTATAATAGCTATTAAAAAAAATAGAATAATACTAACAAAGGAATTGTTAACCTTTGTTTTACTACAAAAACATAAATATATTACAACTTTTAGAGAGTAGATACCAGTTAAATCATAAATGTTACATTTATTCAAAGCTTAGTATTAATTAGCCCTTTACATGGTTTCTGAATTTTTTTCTCTTTAAAAAAAATCTAATTTAGTAAGAGGGGAATCCATGTCTCATGGCTATTGGAGTCCTACACCATGATCATTTTGAAACAAGAATCACCTGTGTATAATTTACAAAACAAGAGGCTCTCAAGATCCTGAATCGCTCACCTGTATTTCAGAGGAGAAGATTTTTAAATGTTAGCAAACTTGATGAACAAATTGTGTAAAATTGTCTTTAAAGGGCAATAACTCCTTAAGGGGTCAATTGACAATTATGATCATATTAACTTTTTTGTAGATCTTACTTTGCTGAACATTATTGCTGCTTACAGTTTATATATATCTATAATAATATTCAAAATAATAACAAAAAACTGCAAAATTTTGTAAGAACTACCAATTCGGTGGCAGCAACCCAACAATGGGTTGTTCGATTTGTCTGATAATTTCTGGGCCGATAGATCTTGACCAATTAAACAATTTTACCCCATGTCACATTTGCTCTAAAAGATGTAGTTTTTGAGATATAAGCCAAAAACTGCATTTGACCCTTGTGTTCTTTTTTTAGCCATGGCGGCCATGTTTGTCGATGGATACAAACTTCGGATACAATTTATAAACAAGATACCCTAAGGAACATTTAGTTAAAGTTTGAAGGTAATTGGCCCAGTAGTTTCAGAGGAGAAGATTTTTAAATGTTAGCAAACTTGATGAACAAATTGTGTAAAATTGTCTTTAAAGGGCAATAACTCCTTAAGGGGTCAATTGACAATTATGGTCATATTAACTTTTTTGTAGATCTTACTTTGCTGAACATTATTGCTGCTTACAGTTTATATATATCTATGATAATATTCAAAATAATAACAAAAAACTGCAAAATTTTGTTAAAACTACCAATTCAGTGGCAGCAACCCAACAATGGGTTGTTCGATTCGTCTGAAAATTTCAGGGCTGATAGATCTTGACCAATTAAACAATTTTACCCCTGTCACATTTGCTCTAAAAGATGTAGTTTTTGAGATATAAGCCAAAAACTGCATTTGACCCTTATGTTCTATTTTTAGCCATGGCGGCCATGTTTGTTGTTGGATACAAACTTCGGATACAATTTATAAACAAGATACCCTAAGGAACATTGAGTTAAAGTTTGAAGGTAATTGGCCCAGTAGTTTCAGAGGAGAAGATTTTTAAATGTTAGCAAACTTGATGAACAAATTGTGTAAAATTGTCTTTAAAGGGCAATAACTCCTTAAGGGGTCAATTGACAATTATGGTCATATTAACTTTTTTGTAGATCTTACTTTGCTAAACATTATTGCTACTTACAGTTTATATATATCTATAATAATATTCAAAATAATAACAAAAAACTGCAAAATTTTGTTAAAACTACCAATTCGGTGGCAGCAACCCAACAACGGGTTGTTCGATTCGTCTGAAAATTTCAGAGCTGATAGATCTTGACAAATTAAACAATTTTACCCCTGTCAGATTTGCTAATATAATATATATTTGAGATATAAGCCAAAAACTGCATTTGACCCCTATGTTCTATTTTTAGCCATGGCGGCCATGTTTGTTGATGGATCAAAACTTCAGATACAATTTATAAACTAGATACCCTAAGGAACATTCAGTTAAAGTTTGAAGGTAGTTGGCCCAGTAGTTTCAGAGGAAAAGATTTTTTAAATAGTTTACGACGACGACGACGACAGACGACGGACGCCAAGTGATGGCATAAGCTCACATGGAGCCCTTCAGGCCCCGGTGAGCTAAAAACTGGAAGCTATACAACCTATAAAGGATTTTTTAATTGAGTCCTTTTTTGTGTGTCCATATGTTGAATTTTACTAATAGTGGCAATGTTAATTAATCAGCAGGAACATTGGATATAGTTCTTTGCAGCTAGACATTGTTTGGATGTATGTGGCCAAAAATGGCTGACCAATGAGCTGAATAGTTTCAGAAGATATTTCTTTTTAAAAGTTTACAATAAACATAGAATGTAAAGAAATGAGAAAAGCCACAGGCTTAAATGAAATTAGAGTCAACTAGTATAGGACAACTATTTCTGGGCCAGATTAAAAATAAATCAAAATCTAAGGGCCAATTCTAACCTACTACTTTATATGTACAAAATCTACTAGTAGGGTGTTTAAAGACCTTGACTACCCATGAAGGTCTTGCATGGTGAGTATAAAACCAGGCTACAATTCAAGGGCAGTATTTTCCTAAGAGGATATACCTTCAGTTCTTTCTTTTCCAATTCTAATTCTTCTGCTGTCATTCCTTCACCTTCATAGGACGTAACACCTATTTCTTTTTCTATCATTCTTTGTTCTTAAAGAAGAAAACATCACAAACATATACACCAATTTGAGTTGTTTTTATGAAAGAGTAACACTAGTTGACCAGAGGTCAATCGTCGGGAAAGATGTCATTGAACAATCAGTTCTGACTGTAACGGGATAACATAAGCATTGTGACAGATGAAATTTACAGGAAAGTGTCCAAAATTCAAAAGCCATATATACTAGTACATACTGCTGGTATCAAATCTTGTTGTTTTGCTTCAGAAGTAAAATCGCCAAAATTCATTGATTTATTTCTGATACCAAGCTATGTTTATGAGGCAAAATTTTATAAATTTGTCAAGTGTGGCATTTTTTATTTATTCTTAGTAATAATTGTTTTCATTCAACATGTTGAAAAATTTAAAGTATTAGCAAACCGGATGTAGTTGTCCCACAAATCCAAAAAAAGCTCTCTCAGTTAAAACTCATCATTGTCAAGCTGAAGACCTAATATGGAGTCATTTTGTTCTGTAGTACTGGAAAAAGGTGTGACAAAAACTTTTAAGTTCATTCAACATATAATATTTAGGGTATCTGCAAACAGGAAGGATGAGCATATAATAGTATACCAAAATTACACCAGTTTTTGAAAAAAAATTTATCTTACTTTCTGCAAATTCTTCTTCTAGCTGTTGTTTTGACCTTTCTTTACTTCTATTGATAGCCTCAGTAACAAAGTCTGGCATAATGCTTTGTTCAATCTCAGGTGGCAATGTCACTTTCTTCTTTATTATCTGTGTAATCTAATAGACAAAGTCACAGTAAAAATATCTAGTTTTATAAAGTAAATGCTTGTTACTTCTCTTATGCAAATATAGCAAACAGTGTGCTAACATGGTGTGAGATACATTATAATCTTAAATAAAACTAGATTATTCTACAATAGCAAACACCCATAGACAACTCTACCAAATCCTAATTACCAAAGCCTAGTATATCTCATTTAGGCTAAAATAAACAGCTGACTGTGCGGTATGGGCTTTGCTCATTGTTGAAGGCCGTACGGTGACCTATAGTTGTTAATTTCTGTGTCATTTGGTCTCTTGTGGAGAGTTGTCTCATTGGCAATCATACCACATCTTCTTTTTTATACAAATTACAATATCAATTTTGATATCCACAAGACAGTGCAGTGTGCTGTGCCTAATCTGCACATTATAATACATAATATAATAAATTCTGCTGAAGTGAAAAACAGTAAATAGACCATCAAATGAATTCACACATAAAAGATAAAACTCTACTTTGAGAACATGTCTTATCAAGTCTGTCCTGTCGCGCTGAATGATACTCATATAAAGCACATGAAAACAAATAATGGTCTATGGGAAAACCACTGGAAGTTAATTAATTTCAATCAAAGTTCCTTCAAATGGTTGAAATTTCAAAATATCAAATTCTTTTTCTGACTATATTAATTGACAGCAAAATAAAATAAATCATAGCATCGAAAATGTAAAACGACTAGGACCAAGACATAAAGAATTGACAGAATAAATTCTTGAATAAATAATGCATACAAATGTTAAAATACATGAAAGTTATTATAAATCCAATGCTTTAAGCTTGAAAAGAAAGGCTTTCAGAAAATGTTAATATTTGCCTTGCCTTGATGACAGAATTTGTCTGTGACATCATAATAAGGAAGATTTTTCAGATTTTTTAGCAAAAAATAGTATAATTTCAGAAACTTTATGCATGGCTAAATCAACATAGAGCACAAGCATGGCCCACATTATCTTTTGCCTGTGACTAGATTAACACATAATACACTTACAGTGTAAATATGTTTTTAGGCAATGCTTGTAATCTATGGTATTTCTAAGTATGTACAAGTCATAAGTTCACCATTTTCCTGAATTTTCGGTCATTTCATGGCGGTGTATATACAACAAATGAAAAGGGTATATCTTAAATCAAAACTGCAATACAAAAATTAGAGACATTTTGAAATACATTTGATTTTAGGGCCAATCTTGCCCCAACTAGTCCCATCTCCTTTAAAACGAAAGAAATCACAGAAAAGCTTATTAAAACCCTAAACCCACCTCATCTTGTTCCTCTGGTTGTACAGATGTTATATCTATAGCTTTAGTGACATCTACCGGAGTCTTTGCTGTTTTGTCTTCCTTTTTACCTTTTGTTAACTGTCCTTTCTTCTTCTGATCCTGTTAAGTATTAATACAAATCTACTGTCTACATACTACCACAAACACCAATCTACTTTATACTTTGAAGTAAAATTACTGTTATTTTATTATCATGATAACTAAAAGCATAACTACATTTAAAACCAATGCACAAAACAGTGTCAGTTATAGCCAAACATTTTCTGTTTTATTGACCTGAAGGAAAGGTTGTTTAAAAGTTAGAAGTAAATATTACGTTATCAGACAGGAAACCCCGCACAGAAATATTGTCAGCCATATATAGCATTAACATTTATGTTCAAATATTTTGAAAGGAAAAGTCAAATTTGAAAAGGTTTGTTTGGTATTTTTTATGTGAATTCTCATATGCTTTCCTGCATTTTACAAAAAAGGAAATTATTTTTCCAGTATTTTTCAACATTTAGTGTTATTTCTTCATTCCTTTAACATTTTTCTAAACTTTATTAAGAGCAGGGTGTCTAACCTTCAAATTCCTAATAAATTTTTACATTGCCAAAATTTAACATTCAGTACATGGGAAAATCATGGAATATATAGTTGTTTAGAACACCTAATGCTGGATTTTCTCGCTGTGTTGAAGACCCATTGGTGGCCTTCGGCTGTTTTCTGCTCTTTGGTCGGGTTGTTGTCTCTTTGACACATTCCCCATTTCCATTTTCAATTTTATTACTGCAACAATTTGTTAAATGCATGAAGCATAAAAATCATCATTGCTGGTATAAAAAATGCAGGAAACAGAAATTTATTGTTAGTACATGTAAATAAAATGTATGAAAAATTCCACAATCATTTTACTTTCTAATGCTGAATAATTCTAGTAAGGAAAAATGTTTCTGCTTTAGAAAAAAAAAAAAAAAAATAAGTAAAAAAAGTAAAAATGTCAAAGACCATAATCAACTTTGGTTTCTATGTCAAATTACATTTCCTCACACATAGAAAAGAAACATCACTAGAAAGAATGGTAATGCATAACTTATCATTGTCATAGAAAAAAGACCTACTGTATCAAAATCCACAACTAAAACTATTGATGACTACTATTTTTCTACTGTAAATTCAAAAATTTTTGTGATATTTTCATTATTGCAAAATTGCGACAAGATTGGTACGGCAAAAAAAACATCTCTCATTTTAAATTTTGATAGCATTATTCATATGCTTAGTACATTTCCTAAGTCACGATAATTAATCTTCATTATTGTTCATTGCTCAAGAATTGCAATAACGAATCCACGCAAAAATTTCTTAACAGTTTTTAATGCAAGAACTTTAAACCTATTATTAACAATATTGTTATTTTCTTACCTTTTTAGCTTGTGGTTTTGACTGTGGTTTTGACTGAGGTTTTGGTTTTAGGTAATCTGGTATAGTAGGTAACTCTGCCTTTTTCTGGACAAATTTATCTTCAGTGATGGATACAAGTGTTTCTGGGCCATGATCCTCTTCAATCTTCTCACCTAATTTTTTTTATATATAAAATTTATTAAATCAAACAATGAATTTAACTGATATCATAATAACAAAGTAAGATGTTTAATGGATGGCTATGTAACGCCCAGTATCAAATCAAATGCATGTTCAGGATGACAACATGTTAATGTGCTATGAATATAGACACTCTTTGTACTAGAAAAACATTTTAAGCCGAAATTTTAACTTGATAGCTCACAGAGTCACAGTCCGCGGGAAGACATATGACCCTTCAAAGACACGCTTTTCTGACCCCAAGTATTTGCTCTTACTCAAAAATGCTGTATGTTTAGCGAAGAATTCAACCAATTAGATTACAGGATTTGGTGTTTCGATCACAAATTTGGTACTCCCTAGTACTGAGTAAAGTTTTAGGACAGAGAGCCAAGGGTTCAACAATTTTTTGGGCAATCAACAAGCCCAAGCCCTATACACTAAGTCACATTGATTTTTTTTTCACAAGTCTAGTTTATATGTAAATAAATATGTTCAAACAGGGAATTTCAGTCGACCTGCTTCAAATTAGCTTCCCTTAGTCATTACTTGTGACATTGAATCATCCGATATTGGTTCAATTTATAACTGGTCTTATTGTCCAGCGCATGTGTGAGTAGCTGTTGGCTGTCTATTATACAGGAAGTTGTCATTTTGTCCAGCACTTGTTTGAAAAGTTGTTTGGCTGTTTATTTTACATGGTGGTAATTTTGTTCTGAACTTGTTTAAGTAGCTGTTTGGCTGTTTATTTAACTCAAAGCTTTGGAACAGAAACCTTTTTAAAACTGAAAAGTATACATTTGAGATTATGACACTTGGAAAAGAAATAATTTCAACCATTAAAGCAACCATATGAAACAAAATGGAAGCTACATATGACATCATGGATGTGTAATGCATTATTTCAAAACTGCAGAAATTTAGTCTAGCCTAGGCTAATTGTTGACATGGCTATCTTGAAAAGTTAATTTACACAGGAATAGCATTTGAATCAATCAAGATTGGGTAAACACATTGGTAATCAAGTTTAAAATGGCAAGTCTCTGACAATTACCTCCCATTTCATGTTAATATTCATACTCACAAATATAAATTATGTTTCAATATTAAATGATTGTTGAGAAGAACTATACGGTATGGGTTGTTCTCATTGTTGAAGGCTGTATGGTAGCCTATTATTACTTATATCCACTTCATTTGAAATCTGGTGGATAGTTGTCTCATTGGCAATCATACCACATCTTTTTATTTTTATATGGAATAACATTATATTGATATCAACATTTTTGTTCTTACCTAGTTTTGATGAAGATTCAGACTTAGCTCTGGGTGATAATTTGTCCTCAGTTGCTATATCTGTTGACCTTGGTGTTGTAGGATGTGGAATTTCTATAAACAAATAAACAATTATCTGAATTAATTTCCTTGTAGTTGTCAATACTTCAGGAGTTCAAACTGTTAATAACCCCGAACAATATCCTTTATCCCTATAAAGATAAAATTTTTAGAATATAACTTTATGACATAGTATTACTGTCAATGTATTAGATAAAAAAAAAATAGAAATAATAATTTTGTGTGTACCCCAATACAAATACTCTTTGAAGGACAAAATGTTTTCAGACCCATTCTGAAAAATAACTGTTGGCTGAAATGGTTTTAAAAGATATACATAAATAATGAAAATTAAAACCAGCAATTTCCAACTTGTTCCTGAGATTAATTGTGAACCAATGACATCTTAATGATTTTATACCTAAACAAAGGCCATAAATTTTCTATTTAGGACAGCCTAAGATAATATTTCACTGGTATATATTTTCTTACATGGCAAGTATATTATGACAAGATTCTAAAATAAAAATAGTTATGTATTTATAATGCATTCAAAAGTTATGACATGTAAGGCATGTTAATTTCTAGAAACATATGTTGTTACTTGTTAGCAAGGAAATCAGCATCAAAAGTTTATATACACTGATAATGTGCCACTGCTGGTAAAGTATCAAACCCTTCAGGTACCAGTAGCCCAGAAACCAGTTCTTTTTACCTTATATAACTAAGATAGTACATTATTTTTTCTATATTTTCTGTAAATGATTTATTTAATTGTATTAAAACTTTTAAGGTTGCAATTCCCTTGTGCTTAGTTGACATTCAATGACTTTGGCTGTTTAGATCGTAATGGTTTTGATGTTTTTAATGTTTTGAGCATACCTGATGAAAGTTCAGAAGAGGATTACAACCAATTATGAAAATGAAACTAGAAAATACATGTGTGCTACACATTTTTACATTTAAATTAAATTAAAACATAAAATCAGACTACACAGGAGTAAAACAAAATACATTAACTTGTGAATTATAAGTCTAACACACTGCTGTGCAGGAAAAAAATCAGTTATCTACAAAAATCATGGGAAAATATCAAATCAGTCTGGAACAAATAAAAATTCAGTGATAAAAATCAATATTAGATTTCAGTGAGTAACATTAAATAAGCAGCAGGTTATATATTAACTCAAATTACAGCAATTTTTAGAAGAAAAGAATGTACGCAAATATAACCTGCACTGTTGTCCAAATTAATATCCTTTGGTGTTTCATCTAAATTATCTCCCCTTACTAAAACAGACGTCTCTGATTCATTAGCGTTATTTTGTATTTTGATTCCAGATTCATCTCCCTTTGTAGGTTCAGGTTTAATATTTGATAAGTTAAGACTAGATTCATCTTCTTTCATAGAATTTTGACTAGGAGAACGTTCTCTCAAATTGGATGGTGATGATGATTTGATTCTTTCCTCTATTTCAGCATGAATTGACTCAATTTCACTCTTTTTTGATTCAGGTTTTAATGTTTTGGTTTTAAGATCTTCTTGTTCCTGATCATTGACATGTGACTGAACTGAAGCTACTTGTTCCTGCTCATATGCATTGGATTGAACAGAATTTTGTTTTTGTTCCTGATTATATGTATGTGACTGCACATTTGTAATTAACGAGGATTTGTTTTTAACAGTCTCTATTGAAGATGCTTTCTTTTCAAGAATTGTTGAGCTAACTGAATCAATTCTAGACAAATTTGTTTGCTTTTCTTCTATATTAGAAGAAACTGTTTCTTGAGTTGAATCTGGAACCATTTGATTTTCTGCAATTTGCAGTTTTGTTGATTTATCTTTGACAGGGGACAAGTTATTACTAGAAGACGACTCAGATTCATCAAATGCATTGGTTGGAGTAGGGGGAGGAAAAGGAGTACTAGTTTTAGTAAAGTGGAGATTTAAATCTTCATTATCTGAAAGGCAATAACATAAATATTTCTAAATTATGGAAAAACTAAATTATACATTCATTCTAAACAGAACTTGTGGAATAAGTGTTTGAAAAAAAAAATTGATCTACTTGAATTCAATAGTAAAATATTTAACACGTTAGTGAACAAACGATATAATTTACAACAAAAAAATCAAATGAATGTAAATTCAATGTGTTCCATCTTAGAAAATATATAGGATCTTGAAAAATAAAAATCAGTGCATTATGCTACCTGTTCATAAAAAAACATCCTTTATGCCGACTATAATTTGAAACAAAGAACATGTAAAAACGTCTACAAGACACATAATGTGGGCCTGAAAATTAACAATAGTTGAAAATAGTTGTTTACATTTTACTTGTATAAGATTTACTTCATAATATTTCATGAAATGAAATTAAAATAAGTTGACAATTACATGAATTTGCACTTGAAATTCTTCATTGAGGGCTTACATCCACTTTGAAACAGACATGTGAAATTTCTGCAATATCATTGCACTAGAATGACTTGATTATTTTGTGTCATTGAAATTCAGGGTTAACCCAGCATTCTAGTTAAATCAATTGTTTCTAGTTGTCCCATATAATTTCAAAATAAAATTCATAGACATATTCCCCTGTGTAATGAAATTAGTTTCCAATAGTCTAATATCTGTATAAATATAAAATACATGTGATTATTATTAAAGTTTCATAAGTATTTTTTATCAAAAATTATCACCAAAATTTATTTATTTATTTCAATATGTTAACACCATTAACTGATAAATCCATGCAGTGTCTAGAAATAAAACAAGACACTCTTGCATAGACAACTAGAATTAGACTATCTAGATATCACAGATACCCCCACTTTCAGAAAAAAAAATTGACAGTAAATGCCAAAACCAAAAACAAAACAAGACACTCTGTCATAGATAATAAAAATACAACCAAATCACACATTAACTCTGCTTATTAAAGCATAATTTGAAACTGGTCACCTTAATCTTAAGTTTATCAAGAGCTATTAAAAAAAATGTTAAGTATTGTAATCAATATTGCCCAGGATCATCAGGTTAATTCAAGTTACTTAACCTTAAATAAACATGTGTTCCATTAAATTTTTAAATAACTCTTGAAAAACCTGAAACAGAATCACCCCTATTATTAACTCATGTACAGTTTTTGCTATACATACATACATATATATTCTTAAAGATGATAAAAATCAAGAAAAATGAAAACCTTTGATGTCCAAACCATACATTTACTCAATCACCTTGTGTACAGTTTTTTCATTGTGTAAAATGTACTCACCAATCATTTCAATTCTTCCTCTGTCATCTCGAGGCCTGTTAAACAAATATTTTCATATGTAAAACATTATAATTCTATTTTCATATCAAAATTCTATGTGAACCAGCATGTGTACATATTTTTCAGTAAGAGAAGACCTAAACATCTAGGACAAGATTATATTTTCAACTGAATGCTTCGTGAATAAGAAAATTTACTTTGTTACATAAAAAATTATCAAATAGTCCTTTGCCAGAAACTGCATTAACAAATATATACTAAAATACCTTTGTCATCTTTCTGTCAACTAATACTCAACAAGTTTACTTTAACCTTGAATAAATTAACGGATTAACATTGAGACAAAATGTATTAATGTAAACCATAATTACTATTGCAATAGAACTTTTTGTTTTTACCGTTGAAACATAACTTATATTAACATGCACAAACTTCAGTCAGATACATAAACTTACAATCTTGGATCAATTATCTCCCCTAGTTTATCTGAAACAGAAATATAAGTATGAAGGATAATTAATAAAATTTGACCAATTTGATATTTTTAAAAAAACACTTTTCTTCAAAATACTCTATGAAGATCATGACTATTCAATAAATTTTAACTTTTCTTAAAATTTTGTGTAAACAATAAGTGATTGAGAGGTATAAACAAATATAATATAAAAGTGAATCTTATTAGAAAAATTAGACACCTACCTCTACTTTCTTCATCATCACCATGGATATCTATCAAAATAAAATAAAACAAAATATAGCATTAATAAACAAATAACTATTTCAGTAATTCATACTACTTGATATTTTTGAACTTGTGAACCCCCTTATAGTACTCCATTTTTTGAAATATTATTCCATCTTGAAATAGTGACACCATGAAAATAAAGAACTGATTTTGATTTTAACCATCTATAATAAAATTACTCAATAGTGTAGTCACCAATGTTAGAAAGCAAGGAGCCAAGGATATTTCATCATCAGTAGTTTAAGTACTTTGAGCTTGCCTTAATAACTATGAGTATTCCATGGTTAAGTATAATCTAGGATTGTTTTTTTCTTGTTCCTGTGATTTTGTTGTCTATTAATTCATTACTATAGAGTAAAAGTGCTTTGTTCTACACTAAATTGTAAATGAAAGTCTATGAAACTTTTGTTATTCCACTGATTAAGATTACAAAGGGGAAGGAGAGTTGAATGAGACTTATCACAGAATTAGTACTTGTCATGAGTAACAAAACGGGTGTTCATGTGGATGTGCTAAACAGTTCTAAAGCACCTGAGATCACCCTGTATGTTAACCTTTAGATGTCTTTTGGGTTTTCTTGTCATTGAATGACTGTCCCACTGACATAAACCCCAGATCTCTTACCACTTTATTGTTTTTCATTTTTTAAACCTTTCAAATTTTCTGGATAAATTTCCCTTCCTTCTGGACACCCATTTTCCCTTTCTCCCTTAAAGCCTCTCCTTAATTCTACCCTTTAACATTCACCTTATGCTGTCAATAACATAGCCATCACTCCTGTCATAACTAGAAAAATTTTTAATATTGTACCTCTGAGCTGTTGAATGACAGAAGTGGTATCCTCTCCCATGGACATAACAGTTGAAGTGACATCATCTCCCGTGGCCAATGAATCCGTATCCTTCACCAGTGTTTGTGATTCAGCTGTAGGTGCAATAAGGTCAGTGATTTGTGACTCACCCTCATGTTCTTGTGCAATGTTTTGGTCAGAGACCGACTGAGTTGGTGATATAGCAGACTTGACATCAACTGATATCAGGTCTTGGTCATGTGGTAAAATAGTGACAGATGATTGGTCATCATCATGTGCAAAAGTGCTGTGCAAGCTGGATGCTCTTGACAGTGTTTGTTTGTGTGATGAAGCACTACCAGGTTTGACACCCATTGGACTTTCATCTTGAGTTGAAACATTTTTTTTATTTTGAATTAATTTAACTTCATTTTCAATCAGACCATCTACACTCTCTCCATCACTTGCTATGAATTCTGGGTCAGATCCATAGCATATATCTTCACAATCTGTCGCTACAACATTATTTACTGTATTATTAACATTTAAATTTGACTCAATCTGAATATTTTCAGACAATTCATTTTTATTATTAATTAGATTATGACCAGAAATTTCACCAATGTCTTGTTTTGAAACTATTTCCTGCTGAACTATTGCACTTTTCACTTCCTGTGGTATTTCATTAGTTACTTTATTTGATAAATTGTCATGATTTGCTAAGATTAAATCAGGTGATATAGATTTAATTGAATGTGTTTGAACACTAATATCATTACTATGGAAACCCTCCACCGTATCTAGCGTATTATCAGGCACTTCAATATGGCTACCAGTACTATATATAATTTCTACATCTGAATCATCACTATCCTGAGCAAAACCTACAACTATCCCTTCACCATCTAAACCTTCATCCTCACTATCCTCAAAATCAATGCTACCTTTGTCTACCATCTTTTTCATATCAACCGATGGTGTTTTTGGTTGATAGAGTTCTTCTGCAGGTGTTTGGGAATTGACAGGTGTCCAGTTACGTGGACCTAAAATAAAACTGCAACTATCACCTTGTGAAACACTGTGATACCCATCATCCCTTGAACTTGACTTTGCATCCAAACAGTGCTCATCAATTTCAGCCTCTTCTTCTTCATCTGGTAAATTAACCTTGACAATACCTTGATCTCGTGTAGGTGTATTTGTATGAGGTCTATGTGAACGATGTCTCCTAAAATCTTCATCAGTTGGCTCCCTTGCATATTTACTTCGTTTCACACTATCAACATCACCTTCTCTATGTTTGGCACGTCTTCTAGTAAGAAGTGGGACTCCATTTTCATTCAGAGTATCTGCAAAAAAATTCAAATAAACTTATTTTATCTGCAAAAAACAGCTGCACCACGAGTTCACAATACATTCATCTCCATTTGACAATATACATGACACAAAAACTTAACATTTATGAATGAACCATGAGATAAAAACATGGTCAGATTAACCATGTCAGACAGACATGTACACCTTACAATCATTCTATACACAAATATAGTTGACCCCCAAATCATAGTATCTGAGAAACTGACCAAATCAGGTAAACATCATGTTCATCATTAAACCATGAAAAGAGGTCAAGGTCAAGTGAACCCTGTCTGACAGACATGTATGCCTTGTAATGAATCTACATACCAATCATAGTTGTCCTATTACAAAAAAAATGACCAAATGATAAAAAAAACATAATTCTATACATTTTTTTATGGTCCATGAAATGAGGTAATTTATGTCAACCAACATTTGCCAGACAGAAATATCAGACCATTACTTATATTTCTGTCTGGCAAAATATGGATTATCCAGCTCTTCTACGTTCTGAAAATATAAAGCTATTTACACAAAAAACGTATGCTGCTGCTGGATTAGCATTCCTATGTCTCCCATTCTACAACATTAGTTGTAAGCGAGACAAAAATGACAGAAATTGATGAAAAATGTGGTGTATGTTATATCACACAGGGATTTAAGTGACACTGAAAATCTCAATCAGGTATAAAAACCCTATTCCCCAAAACATTTATAATATATATATAATATTATAAAGTTATTATCAATCTATGGAGTCCATAACATTAAGATATGAAATTTCATTACCTAATGATCTACCTAAATATGACCTGAGTGACTTTACTGAATCTTCAAGCTTGTCCGAGGATAATATACGCTGATTTTGGTTTCTGTAAAAGAAATGACACATTTAATTCATCAAGTTTTTTTCTACAAAATTTCTCACTATTCATTACTAGACTTAAAAACATTATGTCATACCAATGACAGTGGTTTCTAAGCAAGGTGACATAAGTTGTTAAGCTTGCACCTTGTTGTTGCTTAGAATGTAATAATTTACACTCTCTTAATACCTTATTATCAACAATCTGCCTATCAATTTAAAATCTGGAATTATGGTATTGATTTTATCAGTTTTTCAATTTGAAAATGCTTTTTTCTCCCTTCTCATTAGCATATATAGCGCTTTTTACTTGACTTATTATGTAACTTTAAAAGACAGATATCAGTTTTCAATTTTAAAAAAAATTGATACAAAATATTAAATGATAAGTCGAGATATAATTTTCTACGTCACTATTTGACAATTTCCAATAAAATCAATTTCCCATACCTTGTCCCAATATATATCTAATATAGGGTGGTAAGCCATCAAAAACTCGCTGTTGTATGATTCAATATTTTGACATCAATGGTTTTAAAATCAAATTAATTGGTTCCTAGGTTAAAAAAGTTAATCTGATGATTTTGTTTCTGATAGATTATTTGCAAAACAAACATAAAATAGTGACAAGAACCCTGGGAATTGTACATAAAATATAGAGTGAAACATATAAATTACAAATATCAATGCTGTCCTCTGGGCAATTGCAACACTGGGAATAATGTTCATGGCCTTAATGTCTTCAAAACTAATACCATAGTATAAACAATAAGACAATTCAAAGTGATTGCTTTCTCATACAGAATAACAATTTAAGATTCCAAGGGCTATAAACGATCAAATTTATTAAACTTGTCTAAACTTGGAAGCCATGTTTGATAGAAATTGGAGTCATCAAATATAATAAAAATGTTTCATTTACTCCAAACTTTGAAGGTTTGCTCTGTACAAAACTGTTTTTTATCATTCTTTATTTTGTAAAATTCAATAATTTTTGTTATAGTGCTAGTATGAAAAAAAGGGGGGAACAGTTAAGATCTCAATAATCTGGTTTAACCCAGTAAAATGTCTTTTGGTATAATGTGTATCAATTGATTACTGTCTCATTGACTTAATTACTCCAGACCTCCTTTTAATAAAATGTTTCATTGATGTACATGTTAAGATGATTAACCATTATACTTAAAAAGAATAATTAATTATGTTTCTTGCATTCAAAGTTAGGTAGCTGCATGACCTTGAAAGAATTTTCAAATTAAACTTTTTTGATTGATTTGACCATTTAGTTCAATTTTTAGTAATGGTGGCTATATTGGGCAAAAGCATCAGATATAATTTGGAAAACTAAGGATAATTGTGGAAAATTTTGGTTCTAACTGAGAAAATATGAGTTTTGCTAATTGATGATGGCTGTATGAGAACCTATAGTTGCCTGGTGGATAGTTGTCTCATTGGCAATCATACATCTCCTTATTTTATGTTAGTAAATTCAGAGAAGTTTTTAATAAAGAGCTGCACCATGAGCGCATGATATGCCCGTCGCTTTTTCAAAGAATAATGTTCCATATCACCTCAATGTCATATCAGAAATTTATCAAAAACTAAAGGGAGGTAGGTTATTTTAATAGATATAAACCAGTCACCAAAGTTTCATGAAAACTGCTCAAAGCACTTATTGAGAGTTATTGTCAGAAAACTGGAAAATCGCCCATTTTTAATGAATAAAACCCCATAACTCGGAAATGTAAAATCTAAAATTAATATAAATCGAAAGGGAGCTGACGTCAATAGATATAAATAATTCATCAAGGTTTTCATGAAAACTGCTTAATGCTTTTTTGAGGTATTTTCCGAAAACTGGAAAATCCCCCTTTTTTAATGAATAACACCCAATTACTCGGAAATGTAAAATCTAAAATTTTTAAAAATCGAAAAGGAGCTCGTGTCAATAGATATAAACAATTCACCAAAGTTTCATGAAAACAGCTTAAATCATTTTTGAGTTATTGTCCAAAAACTGGAAAATCCCCCTTTTTAAATGAATAACACCAAATAACTCAAAAACGTAAAATCTCAAATTTATGAAAATCGAAAGGGAGCTCATGTCAATAGATATAAACAATTCACCAAAGTTTCATGCAAATTGGTTTAAGAGTTTTTGAGTTATTGTCCGACATGACAGACAGACGGACGGACAGACTGACAACTGTATACCATTATACATCCTGTAAACGGGTGTATAAAAAATCTGCTGCACAGACAAAAATGTCAATTGAATGCAATAGCTCCATCCACTTTGTCAGAACAGGTGAGCTTACAAAATAAAGAGTTTCTATATTATTTATTTGATGTTTGTTGTTTGAATGAAAATTCAAAGATTAGTCATAAAATATGTAACTTTAAATGCTTCATGCCAATCTGATAAGTATGATCATTTCCAATAGATTTTTACACACAGTTTGTTTTTATGTTGTGCTTTTACACCACTTTCTCTGGTTAAGGGAGGTGGAGAGCTCACAAACATGTTTAACCCCACCACATTCTGTATGTGCATGTCCCATCTTAGTTAGATCGAAGCCTGTAATTCAGTGGATGTCGTTGGTTGATGTCTGTCGTATATATTTTTAATTTATTGTTTTGTCATTAATCAGGCCGTTCTTTTTTCATTTAAATTGTTTCACAGTTTGTAATGTTGAGGCCTTTTAAAACTGACTAAATGGTATGGGTTTAGCTCATTGTTGAAGGCTGTACGCTGACCTATAATTGCTTAAATCCTCTTTTGAATATTTGTCTCATTGACAATCAAAAAACATTTACTTATTTATTATAATACTTATGTTCACTTCTATTTCCACTGAAAACATGCCTTTAAATGTGTCTCTAAAAGCATTGTCATTTAAAAAAAAGCATAAAGGTGAATCATACTTTCAGCTGATTTTTAACTGTAATTTTCTTTATCATTCAACTGCAACATAGTTATTAACAAAAAAAGTTTTAATTGGTGTTACTGTACATGTAGTCAATGGAGTAATTTATCAAGGAAACCATTCACACTTTCTGACTAATTATATAATGGGGAATTCAATCGACACTAATCAAATAAACAATGACATACATGTCAATTGAAAACAAAAGTTGTGTTCAATTCAATATATTTAAAAGAAACTCTAAACCCTTTTAGGCTGGTAAAAAAAGTTATTTGAAAGATTTCAATCAATTTAAATACTTTTCAAGGATTTAAACATAATACCAGCTAAAAGTATACAGGTGTACTTGTAATATTAAAATCATTGGTTTATTGAATATCGATAGACTTAATCTTTTTATTTATTACCTTTTCGACTCAACGAGATAACTTGACCTTTTTTAAAAGTATTTTGAAATTTATTTCAATGAAAAGTTATCAAATTCTTTGCCACAGTGAGTTATGTGAAGGATAATAGACAAAAATCAAACAATCAATGTTTAAAAAATTGTTATAGGTCTTATTTAAGAGACTAATTAGTTTCTTTTTCCAACAAGTTTTTCAATCAACTTTAAAAACTCACTTTTGATATTACATTTTGTGTTGTTGTGTTGTTGAAATAGTCATTATATTGTGTCTTTTTAAAATGATTGCAATTTTATAGAGAGACTCTTTTATGTCAAAACACAATACTCAATAAAAACGGCAACTACTTTTCAATATTGAAAACTTGAAATAGTATAAACGAAACTTTCAGTGCAGTTTAAAAATTGTTCACTTTTATATCATCATAGATACCTCTTACACCCCTCTGATAAAACCGATCCAGTCAACAAATCAATTATCAGACAGGCATTTTAATATCAAAAGTATATGACGAAAATGAAATTTATGTATGTAAATCTGACTTAGTGAAATTCAATAAACTTGCTACTGCTGGGAAACTAAATGTCACTGCAGGTGACCAATGTTATAAAATATTTAATAAATTGATATGTTTTTTTAATAATTTTAATTCAATATATATGACATATATGCAGCTGTGTATATTTAATGTACAGTACATTTAAACTTAAAATCTTCAAATGATATACATTGTAAACATGATATTGTACACAATTTTGATCCAATGCAAGGTTATTTCATTAATTTAATTTATCTTTTCTGTCTTCAATTTTGCATGGTTATCAATTACTCTTCCTTAAATTTTATGATACATGTTTGAAGTTTAGTCACAATTTTTTTGCCTTTTACATTTACCCTTTTCAACCAAAGTAAATGCAAAACCTATGTGTATAAATATCTAGAAGTCTAAATGTATTTCTACACAATTTTGCAACTTAAGCTCAAGTAGTCATGATGTGGTTTTACACAATTTGAAGTTAAAGATCAAGAAGTCATAGTATGTTTTAACACAATTTGAAGTTAAAGTTCAAGAAGTCATAATGTGGTTTTACAAATTTCTGCAGTTGAAGCTCAAGAAGTCATAATGTGTACTGAGTTTTAACACAAATTTAAATTAAAGTTCAAGAAGTTATAATGTGGTTTTACAAATTTCTGCAGTTGAAGCTCAAGAAGTCATAATGTGTACAGTTTTAACACAAATTTAAATTAAAGTTCAAGAACTCATAATGTGTTTTAACACAATTTGAAGTTAAAGATCGAGAAGTAATAGCATGTTTTAACACAATTTGAAGTTAAAGTTCAAGAAGTCATAATGTGGTTTTACACAATTTGAAGTTAAAGCTACGTGTTTGATTTCTGTAACAATGCTTACAATAGGATTACATCCACATGATTTTATTACAGAGAGCACAGTTGTATTAATTTCTGCAGTGTTGTACTATAAAGGTATCATTTTGCATAATTTTTAATTTCCCTTTGACAAGGAAGAAATATTACTTAAGTCAATATAATATACCTTGGAGGATGATGCAAATGAGAAGCAGGCCTAGAAAATTGTTCAGCTAAGCCACTTGGTCTTTTGAAGTCTGCACCAGCTTGTCTGTAGGTCATTGGCCATGATCCATCTTCTTGTAGACCACGTAGTATAGCCCTCAATTCTAAAGCTTCACGACTTCTTGGTAATGCAGTGTCCCTTGAAAGTCCCATCTGCAAACTGAAAATGAAAAAAAGAAAAAACTAAGTGTCCACAGCACACCATGGCGGCTCACACAATCACAATTCCATGTTCAGTGAACCATGAAATATAGGTCAAACCTTAATTTGACATATATTTTTAAAAATCGCATCATTATGAACAAGACGATGAATGGGATGTTGTGCCAAACATACAGCTGCTTATGGTTCAAAGTATCAGAAAATAGGAAGTAGGTGTCTGACAGATTCATAAAGTGCTCACACAATATAAATCAGAAAAGCTACTGATCAAAATCATTCTGTTTAGCAGTACCTTAGAAAAGTGTGACAAAAATATTTGTTGGACAAAAAAATGGACAAAGGGAATTAAAGACAAGGTGAATGCAATATAGTCCTAATTCCTTAAGTGTGGGAGCATAAAATGTGAACCAAGTTTCAAGAGGAAGGAAATTGCATTTTTTTATACACTGTAATGTCTTCTCTTGACCATTATTTTACTATATACTTTGTATTAAACTTATAATAAAATCTGATTTAAACTAACATAAGCAACTAAGATGTTACATAAGAGTTACCTCACCCTCCCCTTAAAAAAAACAACAAAAAACAAAAATAACATTGACCTCCCTTGCTTGTTAAATTTTGATTTTTAATAAAGATCACAAGATGAAATGTTATGCAATTTTATTACAATAGAATGGTTGTCTGTTTCTATAATAAAATAAATGCCTTTAAACTTTATACAAACAAGTAAGGATATAAGAGATATGACTTATCTTTAGAATCCCTGATAAAACTATTTAAATTGAACTATTCTGTTTAATTTGTCAATAAAGTCAGGATAGATGATTGATTGATTGCAGATAAGTGAGAATATAGCTGTGCAAATATCCTATATGTTTTAGATGAATTGCATGTATGCTTTTATTTTTACATTCTAACCCAACAGTTCAGTGCATTTCTCTTTTTTTTATAATTGCTACTGGTCACAATTAAATTAGAATAAAAAGCTAGAATTTATTTATGCAGAGAAAAAAAAAAGTACTGTATATACCCAGGCACAAGAAGGTCCACTTATAAGTCATTTTCATGTCAGAAATCCAAGACTTATGCTTTGACCCATGTTATAAACGGATGATTTTTGCCATTTCTTCTAATGCAAAAATTTGTTGGTGCAACACTGCACGTGTTGAAATGGATTACCATTGATTCTCACTTACAAGTCGTTTATGTATTGAATATTTTTCATTCACAGAATATTACAGTACATGTATTTGTTTAAACTGTTTAGTAATGGGTTTATTGATTGATTGATTGATTGATGTTTAACACCATTTTCAGCCCTATTGTGCTATTTCGTGGCAGTCAGTTTTTTTTTGGTGGAGGAGAGGAAGCCAGAGTGCCCGAAGAGAACCATCGACATTCGGTAGGAAAACCAACAATCCTAGCCAATTAAGATTGGAGTCGAGTGCACCTGCCATGAGCTGGATTCAAACTTACAACATAAGTGTTGACAGGCTAGTGATACAGTAGTTCTTCTACTCTAAGACCACTTGGCTTATAATGGCTCCAGTACTCTGTTTATGTTACTCTTATAATTTTATATTAAATTACTTCACAAAATTTTAATATCTGACCATGCATATACAAGTCAATTATACATTTTTGCACTTCAAACTAATGGATCAGACTAGCTTCCAATATGGCCATTGATATGCAATACTTATAAAGTTTTAAAGTTAGGTCTACTTTTAAAATTAGTTTACATTGCACTCAAAAAGTTAAGAGTATTTTATAATACAGAAATATTTTTTCACAAGTGGAAGATCTTTTATCAAAGAGAATCATTGTTTCAAGTGATTTTCAATGTCACCAGGTTCTGCCAAGATAAGAATTAAATCCAACACCTAGATATGACATTAGCAAAAATTTGAGTGGTTTTATATTGACTTAAACTCCGGCAAAAAAGGATCTTATAAATCCTTGGGTAAATATTAGTCTGACTATTGTGTCGAATGTAAACACGTACAACATACACCCGCAAAATAAATCTAACATTTAAATGGTCATAAGAAATCAAATAAATCAATTTGTTGTGATCTAAGCTATTACTTAAATATATTTTACTGCAAGTTTTCACACTCCATTAATGTAAAATTTCCAATTAAAAGGGACCTATACATGTACACTATCATAAAGCAGAAACAATATAGAATCAATGATTTTACCATTTAACCATACAGAAAATGTTCATGTTTTTCTTAAGATTTAAGCTTTTCAGTTAAAACTTAAAAAGTCAACCAACAGACGGATTATTAAAGCCAGTATTTCAAAAATTTTAGCAGGTAAACAAAAAGTGTACATACAGGTAATAATTCTGAATTACTTCCATGAATTATATTTTAATAATGCTTTCTTGTTTAAAAATTTAAAGGAAACTATAGAATTTTTTTAATGGACCATTACTTTTGACCTGAAAAAAAAGGCTTTGATTGATCTGTCTATAGTGGATTAAGGCTACTAGCAACACTCTTTCTTTCTCACAGTATCATCACAGCCTGTTCAAGAGTTGGACCTGCTCTTCTATAGTCTATCCTTTTAAGGAATGACTGTAATATTTTTTCTGTCTATGAAGAAATAACATTAAAAATGTGGTGCACACTGAATAACCCGCGTAGCGGGTTATTTTAAAGTGTGCACCACATTTTTTATGTTATTTCGAATAGACAGAAAAAATATTACAGTCATTTCTTATAATTTAATTCTAAATTCCATTTTAAACATGAGTAAACCATGAAAAAACGTTGATGACGTCACGGTCACATGACAAAATTATGTCTATGAGCTGATAAACAAAACAACGTCAGCCAATCAGAAGACGCGTTACATCCAAAATTAAATTATTAAAGTATAACAACAATTCTAGACAATAAGCACAATCAACTTCTAACTTGAAATATTAGGTTATAGTACATTAATTTGATTATGAAGATATACAGTATGCAAATTCAAGGTTCTCCCCACTAATTTCCAAAAGCATCATGGTTAACAGGGAATTTTGAATACCACCTTGTTTCTACAAATTATAGCATTACATGGTCATCCATACACAATCCATAAGAATATCATTTCAGATAGCATCAATTTACTATGATGCTAAAGAGCCCTGGGCAAAAGCACTGACATTGCTGGATTCTTCTCCAAAATTGAAAAAAAACCATTTCAAAGGTTATCAACTGATTAAACAGTTTGTTGCTGAACACAATCACCATTCTGCCAAATGAAATATAAATAATGATGTCTAAATGGTTTACACATTCTAAAAGGATATTAAATAAAGATTTAATGTTAGATTTAATGTCCATTTATATTGTAAACATACAAAGGGTTGTTCAGTTTAGTGATGATATGTATTTAGACACAAACATACCTGGTTTTATGTTTAAGATCACTGAGGTAATATTTAACATCACCACCAGGCTGAGCCCTCTTGTCTACATCACGGTCATCTACTTTGTTTAAAAACTTCATGAACAACTTATTTTTGTCATCTGTAACACTGCTGTTCTCCTTTAGAGCCTCCTGCAAAAAATGTTTTACATCTGAGAGTGTATAAACTAGAGACTCCTTAGATCCTGAATTTCTCTCCTGGCAAATATACCCATGAATTGTTCAAGACAAGATACACATGTAACATCTGACAAAATTCATTCAGAGAACTTGGCATGTACGATTCGCTCGTGTATGTAACAATGTTTTAGATTTTAACGAGAGAAATTTATGTATTACTGAAAAATTATTACACCAGGGTTTTCGATATCACAAACTAGTCAAAACATTTACTAAATTTTATCATCGGTATAAGGACATCATTCGTAAATATAGCTCAACATGCAGACTTCTTATACGTTCAGGTATTTCACATCCAATTTTTTATGGAAATATTCTTTATAAAGCACAAAAATGTCAGTATTCACCTCTAAAGCTAACAAAACCTTTAAATAGACTTATTAAGAAGGGATATAGTTACGATACTGTTGTCAGGTCATTAAAGATTGCATATTTTGGCGTTAATATTGATTCACTTATAGGGTCTTTGCATCGGCACTAAACACATATATTTAAAAACCAGTTGTTGGCATGACACGGGTTATGTTCTTCTCATATATGTTATGATGGTATGATACTAAACCCCTAACGGGAAGGATTGTGCCTGATATTCATATGATGAAGACATAATCTTTCAATCAGTTTAATTGAAGTCTGGAGCTGGCATGTCAGTTAACTGCTAGTAGTCTGTTGTTATTTATGTATTATTGTCATTTTGTTTATTTTCTTTGGTTACATCTTCTGACATCGGACTCAGACTTCTCTTGAACTGAATTTTAATGTGCGTATTGTTATGCGTTTACTTTTCTACATTGGCTAGAGGTATAGGGGGAGGGTTGAGATCTCATAAACATGTTTAACCCCGCCGCATTTTTGCGCCTGTCCCAAGTCAGGAGCCTCTAGCCTTTGTCAGTCTTGTATTATTTTTAATTTTAGTTTCTTGTGTACAATTTGGAGTTTAGTATGGCGTTCATTATCACTGAACTAGTATATATATTTGTTTAGGGGCCAGCTGAAGGACGCCTCCGGGTGCGGGAATTTCTCGCTGCATTGAAGACCTGTTGGTGACCTTCTGCTGTTGTCTGTTTTATGGTCGGGTTGTTGTCTCTTTGACACATTCCCCATTTCCATTCTCAATTTTACATTATCTAATCTATCATGTTTTGTACACATTGGCCAAATGGGCTATAAGCAGCTTGGGGTAATGTCATTGAGACAGCAACACAACAAACATGTCTACATAAAAATACACATCTAGAGTATTATAATATTGCTAGATAATGAATACAAAAATGTGCATGTATACATGCAAATACACTTGAAAGACATAATTTTTGTGTCTAAATCATTATATGTGATTAATGTGCATCTCTGTTGAAACTCTGTCTGAGTTACAATCAAAATACATCTCTTTGAATATAAAGTATATTTAACTATGTAGTTGCAGATAAATGTTAAATAGACTGAAGTTCCCAAATTCAATGCACAATATATATAATATCAATATCTCAAATTTAGGAATCAAATTCATGCTTTTCTACTTTTTCTACAATTTGGTATAATATCCTTTTTTTTACCAAAACATGAATGTGATTTTACAGAAAATGGTCTTCAATGATAGCAATTATTACTTAGTCATATTTAATAGTATCCCTTCATTTCTTATATTATGAATAAGTATAAAATGTAATTATAAGATGTTTTTCGAATTCACATATCTGAACTTTGGCACACACTGTGTGAAAGACAACAACTGTTAAAAGATAAGCTGCATTAAGTATCTATAAAGTTTAACCTTGAAACTGAAGTTATTCACAAACGGTCCCTTACTTTAAAGTTATTATTAAGATACATGTACATTCTTTTGTACATGTACAAAAATGTATTATAACAAAAACTGCAACTTTAACAAAATATATATCATAATGATCAACATACATGTATCAGAATGCTTATGGCCATGATTAAGCAAGCATAAACATGATAAAAATAAAAATATGATTATCGTAAGACTTTAAACCAACATTTTGATCCAAATAAGTTTGTTTGCTCTTTTCAGTTGTTTCACATTTTGTCACCCTAAAGCCTTATATTATGGATTTGCAGTGGCGGATCCACGGGGGGGGGGATTGGAGGTTCCGGGTGTTGGAACCCCCTTTTTTTTGAAGATCAATGCTTTTGAATGGGGACATTTGGGGTTTCATTGGCAATCATACCACATAGATCTCCTTATTTTTATACAAACTGTCCCTTGTCCATTCTTAAGCAACAATTCACATATACATGTACTAGTTTAATTTTTTGAAATATTTGTAGCTTTTCCAAATAAAATGATCTTGTATCATGGATTTTCTTTTTCTTTTACAGTTAAAGGTCACCATCGTAACATATGTTTCTTTTTTAAAACATTTCATGCATGATATCTGCCTTACAACAAAAGTCAGATGATATAAAAAATATAGAAATAAAGAGAATTTTTTAGAGATGTGGTACGATTGCCATTGAATGATATACTATCCACCAGAGACCAAAGGACGAAGATGTAAGCAATTGTGGGTCACCATACAGACTTCAATAATGAGCAAAGCATTTTAAGCATTATTCTGAAATCAGATAGCTTATATACATTTAATTATGGCTATATACATAACTTGAATACATGTATTTCAATTACTTGTACCAATGATTTGACCTTGGTAGTAATAAGTTAAATGATCTCTTGATGACAATTTCCACTTTTGGTGTCCTTTTTTTTATTGAAAGTCACATGAAAAGGTTACACCACCAAACAATCAAAATTTATGAACTGAAAAATACAAAATGTTGATAACAAATATTTCATTCATTAACCTAAATGTATCCTATCAAAGACAATATGTAAAAATTTAACTAGTATAGGAGTTCTAAGATATTAGCCATTTCAACCTGGAGGTTAAAAAGTTGTATCATGACATTTTCAAGAAATCTGCAAATACTTTATTTTCTAAGTACCGGTAGCACATTAATAGAATGATTTAACAGATTTCCACTTTAATATTCAACTACCTTTTTTATTTTGGATCCTTTGATCCTGATGAATACCAATGCTAAGTAACATTACTTGTAACAAAGATGATATTCTATGCAAATGGTGTTTATAGTTAATCCAACCTACAATGTAAGTCATACTTTCTGATGTAATCATGTGACTTGTGAGCGTAAAATGGTTTAGATTAGACAGAGAGAACCAGGCAATCTCAGAAATCCTGAACAATTATGTTAAAGAAATCAGTGCAAAAGCACCTATTTAGTCCTGTTAGCCTAATAACTAAATGTATGCATTACAGTGTTTACCTCTTCACCAAACTGAAGAACTGACATAGTTAACTTGTCCATTGTACCAAGCTTTAAACTTGTATCAATCACATCCACAGGTTTCCGTATTCTCATAAGCCTGGGATGGACATCAGTCTTTGAAGGCAATGAGTCCAGTTCATCTTCATCTGCTGCAAATAACATTAAGGCACCTTTTCTTGTTAGAAATGTTTTTGGCAAGTTCATTTGTGAATCAGAATTTTCTCTAGACATGGGATCAGCAAATAATACTTCTCTTCCGGAACCATTTCTCTTTCCTGATAGAGTTGCTTCCCTTGCATAGTGTGTACTAGCTGATAAAGTAGCCTCCCTTACATGACTACTAGTTGTCCTGAATGGAGGGGATACAAGGGTAGCTGAGGGAGTTCTGGATACAAACCCAACAGTAATCCCATGTCTATGAGGTTCCTCTATATCTGGCAATGAATCTGAATCCTGAAAAAACAAATGTTAAAACAAAATTTTTTTAAAATTGAGGAAAATAGATCTAGAAGAGTCATAATTCTAAAGATGGTAAACGGTACATGTACATGACAAAATAGCCCAAAACTTATTTGTGACAGATTTAATTAACTCATGGAGTATTTAGCTTATATCAAACTTAAGTGCTCCTTTTTTGAACATGCATGTTATTACATATACCCTAAAAACAGGAGCACATAATTAGTAACTGTGCAATCATGGTAATGTTTTTTTTGTCATGTTGGCTACATGTATCTTGACTGTGAAACTTAACATTTTAATTTTTCATAAAAATATTTATTGTTGTAGTCTTTGCTTTAATTTTAAATCCTTATACATGTAGATAAAATTATTATAATAAAAGCTCATTTAAAAAAAAAAATTGAATATTCATTGCATAAAATTAATATGCCATGTACACCTTGGATAACATTTAATTTTATTACAAGTAATATTTGGACCCCTTATTATGAATTGTGTACTACAAATGTAGTACTCTATAACCCTCCATAATTATCAAAGACATTAAAGTTCTGTAATTATGATCTTCATAGAAGGCGGGCACGGGCATACATATTTTAATTGTATTTTAATATTATATTGATTTAAACAGACTTAAGTGCATAATAATTAAGTGTACCTTACAAGTGACATGCATTGCATGCATGCTTACAAACCTCCTTTATATATTTACTGTGATGAAAATAAATATTCATTCCCCTTTTGAGAACCACTGCCATTTTTCAGCACTTCCTGATCAATTTGAATTAGTTGAACACGATTTAAACTCAGCAAAAAATTAAAAGTTAGAAAAGATTTGCAAAAAAGACTTTTTACCATGTTTGTTGAATAAATATTTGTAAATTGACTGTCAGGGAAACTTAAAATGCAGCATTTATCCATGTTTAGAGAAATATAAGTAAAATGAAATCATTTTATTTTCTTTAAATGTACATGTACACACAATCTTTTTACATCTCTATGCAATATACATGTAAGGGTAAAGACAAAAACAAATTATAAAACGTATATCAATATTTTGGATCATCTGAACTTCGCCATCACAATACTACTAACTTCATATCAGGTCTTAAATTTAAAAAACTATAAAATTTATGCACTGTATTTTTTTTACATAACTAATTACCATTCCATCATAATTACAAATACCTTTTATATCAAAATAACAATGAATAAGGAGATGCGGTATGATTGCCATTGAGACATTAAGTGTATATATATACATGTACAATGTATATATAATACACCAAAGATGAAGGGACAAATATATAAACAACGTGTTTAGATTATCATACATGCTAATTTGTACAAATAATATATATAAATAAGGTCATTAAAAAATATAAACTGGTTACCCATGTTTCCTGGCTACTGTCAGAAAAAAAAAATGGTACATATAAAAAAGAAGATGTGGTATGATCGCCAATGAGACAACTCTCCACAAGAGACCACATGACACAGAAATAAACAGCTATAGGTCACCTTACAGCCTTCAACAATGAGCAAAGCCCATACCGCATAGTCAGCTATAAAAGGCCCCGAAGTCACAAATGTAAAACAGTTCAATTGAGAAAACTAACGGCCTAATTAATGTACAAAAAAAATAACAAAAAACAAATATGTAACACAGCAACGACAACCACTGAATTACAGGCTCCTGACTTGGGATAGGCACATACATACAGAATGTGGTGGGGTTAAACATGTTAGCGGGATCCCCACCCTCCCCCTAACCTGGGACAGTGGTGTAACAGTACAACATAAGAACAAACTATAAAAATCAGTTGAAAAAGGCTTAACTCATCAGACGGATACAAATAGAAATACATATAGCAATAACACGTGGACGTGACCGGGTACTTGTACATCCCAACAACAAAAGACACTAAGTACAGATATGAGAGTACTCACAGTTACTGACAGCTATTTCAAAGCCAATAACAACTTATATAAAAAATCATGCATCTAAGACTAAATTATCAATCAGTACACATGTACATTTGTAGGTACATAATTTAATTGTTTTAAATATTTTACATAGACTTTTATGTAATACAGGAAAAGTTCTAGACTTTTAGAGTGTACAACTTTTTTAAACAGACAATGTCTGGACTCTAATGGTGCTCAACCAAAAATGTCCTTAGGGTAGGCGGTCACGGTTTACATTTTCATTTTTTTTGGGGAGGCGGGGGTAAGAAAATGAAATAAATTTCAATAAAATGTGTACTGGGATTGAAAATTTTGTAAAGGTTTTGATATAATTTTTTGCATAATTTCATTATTTCAGAGGCAAACTGTTTAACATTTTTTGTAGAACTATATACATTTTTTGTACATTGTATTTTTTTGGTAAAGTAAATAACTGCAAATACCAATATACTAGTTATACCAATATTTTTTCTTGAAAGGGAGTGGTGTACAACTACTTTACATGTTAATTTAAAGTTTTAAATCCAATTAAAAAAAAACATTCTCCTAGAAAACCGTAATATTTAAGCACATTAAACGTTTAATAATATCAAAACTTACCGCTCCATCTTCATTATATGGATCGTAATTTCCTGTCCATGTCCCAAAACCTCGGGAAAGTGGACTTAACATTTTTTTTTAAAGTTTCTTTTAAAACAGTAAGAATTTCTTTTTCTTTTTTCTAGGTTCTTAAATCTATCCCATATTTAAAGTAATTTGAGTGATATCGATATTTACTTCCAGTAAAATCTATGAAGTGACAGTTTCCTTATCGTTTATCCGTTAATTTACACTTAATTGATATAAATTGATTTCGTATCAGTGACAGTCTACTGTCCCCTTGTTGATGTTAGGGAAAACAAATATAGAACATTTCATTCATGAAGGGGGAATGTATGTTTTTTAATTTATTTTACATATTTTTTATATTGGTACATCTTTCAATATAAATAATGTTGGTAAAATAAAATATAAACACTCTGTTTGTTCCATTTAATTTACGATCAGGGTAAATATAAGTATAATGTTTTGAAGGTGATAATAAATCTGTTCACTGTTTACTTTCTTAATGGAATCGCCTTACTTTCACTTTTGGTCATGCGCATTAACAAGCACCTTGCACTTCCTCTACTTCCGGTCCGGCGAAAAACTTTGAAATGGTAGTTTACTTGTTATAATTTATATCATGTATGCCTACCTCTGTAGGATGCATATATTTTTAATGTTTGGTAACACGTACAGAATGAACAAACAATCATATTTAACATGCTCATCGTCTAAATGTGTTATATTTACGAGTCTGCTATTGAAGTTTTCGTTAAAAATTAAAATTTGACACGTGTCAAACTCACTATTGAGAAATAAATTTGTAGCATTTAAAATTGATAAGGTTTCCATTCATATTTATCCACAAATCCAAGTTATTTCGAAGAATAGTTTGATATGAAATATATGACATAAAAGAGAAGGTGACGAAGACTTACATAATGTAAAATTGAAATGCATTTATAAAGCTGTACCTATTTTCAATTCCACCAAATTTATCGGACTTCATCTTTTGGCCAGTTTTTGGAGTATTTGCACTTTCGTGGCAATATTTCTTATAGATTGAAAAAAGATATTTCCTGCCTCCTATGAGGAAAAATTTTGTTGGCTTGGTAGACGAATGTGAAAATATGAATATAAATTTATAGGTTAAATGATTCTACATAAGAAAATGCCTGTACCAAGTCAGGAATATGACAGTTGTTATCCATTCGTTTGATGTGTTTTAGCTTTTGATTTTGCCATTTGATAAGGGACTTTCCTTTTAGAATTTTCCTCGGAGTTCAGTATTTTTGTGATTTTACTTTTTCCTACTTTTTTAACATTTCTTCTGCCAACATGGCCAAATGCATTAATTTAGACTGAATCCCCATGTTGACCTACAATAGACCCTTTTCATATTACTGACTTGTTTTGATTCCAGAGTACAAGGTTAGACTCGTAATTGTAAAACTGAACATAATTTCATGCTAGATAACAATTATCCATCATAATGAATCACTTAAAAGTAAATACTGGAATATTAACTGCAATTTAAGAAATTTCGTATCATACTTCCAAATTCATTTCATAGTTTACAATCATATTAATACATCAGGTTTACATTCAGAATCGAAAGATGAATGCTCCATGGTCTATTACTGTGGAATTTGCAATTTTAAGTCATTAAAACCATTTCAGTTTTAAACTTTTGCTGTCCACAAATCTGTATTCAACATTTTATAAAAATTGGTACGAAACTTCTTGTTATTGATGCTGCAAATCATGGATCCCGGTTCGTGACTTCTGAATTTGAATTTGACACCACTACTACAGGGGGTGTTTGACAGTGAGAAAAATGGTCCCAATTTTTAAGTGCTAACAAAATTAACAAAATAGTGAGAAAACGCCTCTGGAAACCTTCTGACAGGATAAAACTTCGAGGTTAACAGGACAGCTGAATTGTGGTTATCTTTGACTAAGAGGAGCCATGCAGGCTTGACATTGAAATTGTTACAAATGACAATTAATGAAAACATTGTTTATTCTATAATTGAAATAAGAAGATGTGGTATGAGTGCCAATGAGACAACTCTCCATCCAAGTCACAATGTGTAAAAAGTACACAATTAATTTATAGGTCAAAGTATGGCCTTCAACACGGAGCCTTGGCTCACACCGAACTGCAAGTTATAAAGGGCCCTGAAATGACTAGTGTAAAACAATTCAAACAGGAAATCCAACGGTCTAATCTATATAAAAAATGAGAAACGATGAAATGAATATAATAAACAATATATCAGTCTATTCACTATAACTTACAATGAAATGTAGGAATGAAAGCAAGTGGGGTTTTGTCCTCCTGAGATTTCCTCCATTGTTAAATTTTCTTCCAAGGAGAATCCAGCCTGCCAACATTCACTATTAAGCTGTGAACTACACTATTGTTACCACTTGTCCCAATTGCACGATTGTGATCTTGATCTTGAAAAAAGACATAAAACACACTTTTGTAAATTGTGAAAATTTACCTGAAAAGTTTGTTAGTTTGAAATTTAGCTAGCTATAGCCAATCAAACTTGGTATTTCCTATGATTATGTGTTTAGCTCCTGATAAATGGGCCTTGTAAACAAACAAAGATTGAACTTTTTAAGTTGTGTATTCCTTTGTATATCAGAATTTTAAAAATTGTGATCATGGTGGACAAATTGTTATTATCAAGAATGTTCTGACGTAAGCTGCCTAAGAAGAAAAGCGTGGCTGAATGACAAATTCAAAGATAGTGATATCACATGTCTTTTGCAAAGTCTGCTATAGAGGCCACAATAGTGGCCTGAATGATGTTTTGAAGCATGCAAGGACTGTTAACTTTATAAAAAGTCCATCATAGCTCAGAACACTACCAAGTCTGTCAGTAACTTCCTTGTATGACTGGATGATGAGAGCAAATCAAGAGGGTCAAGCAAGCATGTACATGTACAGTTAATACAAAAGAACTGTTTATAAGACATTTTCATTGAATTGAGTTAAAATATTAAAATATGTATCAAGTTTAATACAAATCAATGACATGTGCTTACTTTGATACAATTTGAGTAACAGCGCTACCATGAAGATATTCAATAGTAGCTTATATGGACATAACACTTATTGTAACAGATCCTTACAGTGTTGTGCTTCTTGTTATAAAATTATCAAATAAATACATTTGTAAATGTTGTTCTTTGTCTACATTATATTTTTAGTACATGTATAATGTAGTCACTTATTCCTACATAAGAAAATAGTTTGTTGGTACCGTATACGTACATTGTATTCTATCCACATGACATGTACTATCTTATCTACACATTAATACTAGTACATGAACCATGCAAATAAAAAGAAGAAAATGGCTTGTTATAAAATTGGCTCATATAAATAAGGAAAAAGAAGTGATACATGCACGACACTATTTCTAGGCTAAAAACACAGTGCATGCAAAAACGCCTTGAAAAAAAAATAACTCTTAAAAATGTCACACACTCAAAGCCCACTTGGGATTTTCAAATGTTAGCAAGTATGGTTACCTACTCCACGGTAAGACATTCTGGTTTTCAGTCAAGTATGAGGAACTGAAAGAAGTACAATCAAGCTTAAAATCAGTGAAATTTGGGCAAAAATTAACTGATTATGTCATGTACAGAAAACACATTGATAAAAATGGTTTGTTATATAACTAATGTTTGATATTGAAGCATACTTCAATAAATTCACCTTTAAACATCACACTTACTACCATTGTTTCAGCCATTTCAATGTGACAAGGGACCATCTTGCTTTAATAATTTCCCTAAAACGAAAGAAGGGACCCCAAGAGTTTGAACAAGATTTACAGTCGAACAAAATTTAACTCCAGGTTTACATTGTCCAATCTTAGGGGAAATAATACTTACAGAAATTATAAAAATTCCAAAATCAGTTTGTAATATGAAAATGGACTACTGTTGAATAGAAAAACATGTAACATCCATGCTATGGTGTGCTCCATAACATTATTATCAATTTAAATATATTGGCTAGCAATAATTTGTAATTAATTGACTTCCTTTATTACCTGTAAGAATTTGTTTACCTTTTAAGCAAATTTATATGTCCTCAAGTTTTATCCCATTAGAGTATGCCTATCACATGATGCATCATCATCTATTTTGGTTTCCCTAACATTTTTCCATTACTGCAATTGTGCATGAAATGGAAAATAAATTCCTGTTATAATATTGACAAGAAACAAGTTTAATTGTGTCCTTTGAATCAACTACTAAAGATAAGTCACTTGTAAGGTGGTAATTACCTGACAATCTACACATGTACCTGAAGTTATCAATATTAATCATCATAATTGGATTGAAATTTGATCAGTCAGTCTGCATGTGATGTGTTCAGTTTTAGGTGACAAGTTTGATCTTATAATAAAAACTCAAAGGAAGTTTTCATTAGTAGATATGTTAATTTTATTATCTCTTTTTCAGGAGTTGACATTAGATTCCATGAGTCGCTATGTTAGTCCAATTAATCCTGCAGTATTCCCTCATCTGACAGTGGTTCTTCTAGGAATTGGAATTTTCTTCATGGCATGGTTTTTTGTGTATCCTTGCATATTTTACCATGTTATTTTTAGATTTGAAAGAAATATCTATTTTATACACATACACTCTATACAAAACATTAAAATATGATATTAATCTGTCATACCTAAAACAAAAATAAGTCGTTTTAGTTTTGACTGATAGAAGTCAAAAATATGTTAGTTTCATGAATTATCTCCCTGTTGGAATGACATTATGATTTCACTTAGTCAATCAATGTGTGACATGCATAAAAAGCACTGAAATTTAAAAGAAAACACATCTTCTGAAAATGTTTAAGACTAAATTTGCATTAATGTTAAGTTATATATTTAATTTAAGACCAACTTTATTATTCATAGTCACTGATAATGTATTTTGTCATTATTTCAAAAAAAAAATATAATGTAAATTCATTATTATTTGTTGGGTACTAATTTTCATGAATTTAAATTTTGAAAAATTTAAGCGGAGATAGTTTAAACATGATCATGACTTTTGAAGTGATTGAAAATTCTATTCAAATCTTTCAAACAACAAAGCAATTTACTTGTATAATTTTAAAAAAAAAGCATAATAACTTAACAAGTAACAGAATTTTTGAAGAGATATGCTTCTTATAAGATAAATGTAGCTATAAGCACTGGAATGAAATATAAGACAATTGTCCATATAATGCAGCAAGTAAAAAAATCATCTTAAACATTATACATTATTTATTTCCTTTACCACAAA